ACAGAATAGTAGCTTCTTGTTCTGAATCTGCTTCTGAGTCATTTACACAAGCTAACTGTCAACAAAACCAGTACTCTAGGTACAATTAAAAAAGGATGGCCTATCAGATCTTGTAAACAAAAGGAGCACCTAGGACAGAACAAAATTGTACCGCCAGGTTTTCCAAATCAGGATGGTGTAGCAACCTGTAGTGCTGGGATAATGTCAGGTAAAGCAACTAAATCTGGCCCCTGAAAGAACTTGAATCTGCTAGGACAACATCAAGAGAAGCACACACCATCACACCTGGCACAGCCACCAAGACATACCAGTGAGTAGTTGGTGTTAGAGAAAAGTGGGCACATGTAGAAGAGACATCCATTCAACTGAAAAGAATAAGATTGCTGTCTGTACATCTTTACTCCAAAACCATATGTATTCCAAAACTGTTGGCTATGGCAAGACAGAAATGCATACATTTTCAGATTCCACATAGTCAGAGAAGATGACATGGTCACTACAACACTGTGGAGTTGCTCTTTCCCCTGATGTGAATTGTTAACATGAAAAATTACCAGCAAAACACCAGAGCCATATCTACTGTGTTTATTCCAATAAAACACTGCAGTAGTGTTGTTGGGATATGAATTGTGTGTACTAAAAGGAGCCTCCTGAAGGCATGTAGTACTTTGCAAACAGTAGGATATTGATATTAACGTTATTTTTTATTGAAGCCAACCAACCTCAAAAGTCCAAAACTTCTACATGGGCTACCCAGCCTGATTGGACAAAGTTTTTAACTAGGAGATTTAAATGTTCTATGGTTTATTAATTCTATTATGTGTTTATTATATTATATTATATTATATTATATTATATTATATTATATGTTTTTAAATGCTTTTATGGTGTTGTGGGCATTGAATTGCCGCCTCTGTAAATAGTCCTGAGTTTACAGAGAAGGAGAGTATACAAATATAGTAAATAAATACCAAAAACAGCCATCATTGGAATACATACAAAACTATGAGGGTGAATGTCTACCCTTGTCAGATGTCCCAGTCAAACCCCACCAACTACATGTATATTAAAAGTTAAAAGAGGTATATGGAAACAAAGTGATTTCGATGATGTATGGAGAAAATTTACTGAAAAGGGATTTAAAAAGAAAGAAGGAAAGTTACTTCCACAAGAAGAATTAAAGTTTTGGACAGATGATATGTAAAAGCTGTGGCTTGGGAGGAGGAGAGGGGAGCACAGTGGCAAGGGATAGATAATATGTATAAGCAGAAAAATAATAGTAGATGCCAAAAGTTAAAGTATGACAGGTTGTATTGAATAATATGTATCTGCTGTAAAACAAACAATGTATAACAAATTATTAAACTATGGTAAAATAATAAAAATATTTTTTTAAAACCCACCAACTCTGGAATCTGAGTATGTGCTTTGGCATCTAATGCGACTTTGGTGCTGCAGCCAAAAGTACACTTTAGCAGAGCCTATTTTCATATTTTAAACCCTAAATTTAATGAAAAGAAATTCATAGAATCCTAGTCATGTGTTAGGGACACTGGTCTAGCACTTTCAAAATCTGAATTACTAGAAATTTAAGACCAAGACTATGCGTGTATACTTTCAGCTGTTCATTATTCAGCTATATTAAAACAGATGGCCAAACACCTCTTTAAAGAGGATGTTTTCCTGTAGAACACTAATTTCCTGTTCACACCCATTTTGTGCAAACTCAGTTTAACATAATGTTGAACAAAATGTCGCAAAAATCCTTCGAAATAAAATAAACCTGCTTTTATTTTCTGGGATTTTTTACAAGATTTTTTTTTCAAATATAGGGAGTGAATAAATTTGTATTTGATACCAAAAGTCCTATTGGATTTTTGTAATGCTAAAACATGGCTTGCTATTAGAACGGGAAAGACCCCCTCAAGGCTAGAACTGAGCCACAACGTTTCATACGACAACTTGGGTGTGACATAGGATTGTGGCCAAAAGCAAGAATGAAGTGTCCTTTCTGGTCATGTGCAAAAACAAATGAATAGTATTTTCATTGTATGTTGTTGAGGTGGGAAATACATTTTAATTTTTATTGTTTTGGTTACTGTTCTTAGCGTGGTGGGTGTGAATGGCAAAAATATTTTAAACTGATGTATATAGTGATGCAAGTCATATGTGGGGAAATTCCTCTCAATGAATTGTATAACAATATTTCAATTACTGAAAAAATATGGTATTTACTGAAATCTAATGCTCAGTTTTTAAGGTTAAATTACCCTGCCAAAATTAGGGGGGGGGGGGCATTAGATTTGCATAATACTGTAATCTTAATTCCCATTTGAGGGATGTCATCTCAAATATAATTGCCAAGGCTCAACGCTATGCAATCCTTGGATTTGTAGTTTGATGAGGCATCAACATTCTTTCGCAGAGAATGCTCAAAACCTTGTAAAACTACACCCCCCCTGATTCTATAGCATAGAACTAAGGCAGTTAAAGTGGGTTCATTCTACAACATAGATGCAATCCAAGGTTTTCCTTTGAATTTCTGGAAGCTTTGGTGTCTTAAGACACTTTTTTTTTTTTTAAAAAAAAAGAATAAATTCTTAGCAGGCAGCAACTACAAAGCACACCTTTTTTGGCCAAATTACACAAAGAAAGCACTTTTTACCACTGCATATTACATTCAACAGGGAAATACTTTATTTTGTTTAAGGGTTCTGAAAATGGAGGTCCACATTAGACTCAAATAAATACAGGCAATAAATATATAGAATTTTTTAAAAGGAAATTTTGGAAAAAACAAATTATCTATTGCCTGGTGAGGGAATTCCATAGCCTCCAAATTAACCTGCAAGACGGGGTGCCCTAATTTAGGATTGATATTCATAATTTATTGGATCACAGTATCATCAGAGATTCACATAAATATTTCATCAATACAGCAGTAGCAGGCAAATAAGTCCACTGCTCTCATATATATGATACCACTGCCCAGAGGGATAGAATAGCTTTTTCATTAAGTTTTACTCATGCTGTAGTAGTTATGTGGCCATTTCTTCCTATATCATGCATGAATGTAATAGGTAGCAACTGGGGCATTGCCCAACATAGGAGCCCCCGGTGGCGCAGTGGGTTAAACCCCTGTGCCAGCAAGACTGAAGACCGACAGGTCTCAGGTTCGAATCCGGGAAGAGGCGGATGAGCTCCCTCTATCAGCTCCAGCTCCTCATGCGGGGACACGAGAGAAGCCTCCCACAAGGATGATAAAAACATCAAATCATCCGGGCATCCCCTGGGCAACGTCCTTGCAGACGGCCAATTCTCTCATACCAGAAGCGACTTGCAGTTTCTCAAGTTGCTCCTGACACGATAAAAAACCCCCCAACATATGGTAACATGCACACAGCATTAACAATAAAAAGAAAGCAAACTAGGAAAATAAATAAGGGAAAGCAGGACTATCTATACGGAATCATACATAAGCTTCTGGTTGCATACTGATAGAAAAAAAAGATTTCGAAAATAACTGAAAAAGCTGATCCATTTTCTCAAAGGAATTTGTGCTTTATACATGATAAATTAATAATAAAAGAGTGGTGGCGGGGGAAAGTATTCAAATTCTCCAGAATCTCTATTTTATTGTAAGCTAGTTACTGGCTATTATGACTCCACAAAATCCTTAAGATTTAGTCAATAAACCTTGCTGAAATTTATGAAGACAAAGCAATGGCTGAATAGGATTTGTAGTGCTTGGGTAAAAAGGCCAAGATAGCATATTTTATCCTGTAACAATCAAGGCGCCAATATAATACACAAATTTAAACTTTTAAGAGTACACACAGAAAGCCAGTGTGGTGTAGAGCTCTGAGGATTCAATTACAACTCTGGAGATCAGGGTTCGATTCCCTGCTAAACCATGAAAATCTATTGGGTGACTTTAGGCGAATCACAAATATTCAGACCCTGAAAACCCAGTAATATGTCAGCTGAAATTATTTTCTGAACAGGGCACATTAAAAATGAAGCACTGTAGATAGGAAGTTAAATAGCACATTAACAATGCTGTACATCTGAAAGTCAAAATACTTGATTTACTTAACCACTGCATTGCTATTACAGATTTCATTCTATCTGGCTTAAGTCATGCAATATACATTTGCCTGTGTATATATTTTCATAGTTCATTCCATCATGAAAGTGTGTGGGTAGAAACAGAGGACTGGAAAAAAACTATTATCCCTAAAAGTATAATAGTGATCCTGCATTTAATGTACCATGTGTCTGTAACCACTGTAGCAGGCTGCTGCTGAAAAATAGAAAAAACAATCTGCCAACATCTATTCAACCTTTAGGATGTTTGCCAGCATTTCCCGGAAATTTGAAACTAAGCATGTTTTCTTATAAAACAAACAAACAAACAAACAAACAAAAACAACCCAAAAACCTACAATTTTTTTAGTTTGATCTCCTGATAAAGACTAAACAAGTTACTGTCAAAGGCTTTCATGGCTGGAATCACTGGGTTGTTGTGTGTTTTCCGGGCTGTATGGCCATGGTCCAGAAGCATTCTCTCCTGACGTTTCACCTGCATCTATGGCAGGCATCCTCAGAGGTTGTGAGGCCTCAACCTCTGAGGATGCCTGCCATAGATGCAGGTGAAACATCAGGAGAGAGTGCTTCTGGAACATGGCCATATATCCCGGAAAACACACAGCAATGCACTTAACAAGTTTGTGACCAATTTTCTTGCTTTTTAGCTCAGATTCAGTATCCTGAAATTATTCAGCATTCAAATTACTGGGTAAATGCAACTAGAACCTTTTTCACTCCACAACAAGACTTTCCCCCCCTCAAGGTTAAGATTATCCCAAACATACTACTATAAAGTTGGCAAAAGTTGTTACTTAAACCAGACACTGTATGGCCCACTACTCACTTCCCTGGGATAATGAAAGAATGAAAAAACAGCTCAGATATATTAAATCCCAATAAAGATTTCTTACCTGCATACATATGGTATGTAAGTCTCTCGATCAGTTTGACAACTGTTCCTGCCTTGATTATAGGGATTCCCGATTTTGGCTGCATGTTCTCTTCAAAAACAATATTCTCCTCAGAATCAGGTTCTGCAAACCTATAAAGCTCAGGACTTGGAAATCTCATCTGTTCCTCCTTCTCTTCTTGTAACATTGTTACGTCTAACATGCGCTCCAAGGTGCTTCTGTACTGTAAAGAGATCAAGGCTGCCATCCAGTTGTTTTTCTCTTCGGCTGATTTAGCAGCAAAAATAACACTGTTCTCATCTTTTAAAATTATTTCAAAGGCGTGCTTGTATTCATTAGTGTCATCTTTATCGTTGATTTGTACCTTTCGCATTAGAAACTTTTCTTTCAAACGATACTCCGCATTGCTAGCACCAGGCAGTCTTGGCTGGCCATGATTTGACTTACAACAAATCATGAGGCCATCAAAGAGAAATATATGTCTTTCATGCTTGGCACCCACGCGCGTGAGAGTCCCCTCCATTATGAATTCATTGCAGCATTGTCCAATGTCTTTACCCTCCCAGCCGTCAATATTCTTTTGGATTTCGTTCATTTTCTTGATTGCAAGTTGCTTCCCTTTCATTTGTTGACTATAGAAACGGCACGCAGATTCACTTTGAACGAGGAGGAAACAAATTATTAATATAAAAGCTAACTCACATATAATAGCCATTCATATATATACTAGGCCAAAAATATACTAAAAACTAAGCTGGAGGAGTGATATGAATGATATGGATTGCACCAGATATGTTCAATTACACATGAACATGATTTGAGAATTCCAGCATTCCTGTAATTTAGTTTCAAAAACAAATATTAACATCTTAAACAAAATCTGACAATTCTTCTTTACTTAATCAAAGCATAAACTATACTAGTCACCACAACATAAATTAGCATGATTTTTTTTGACATTTTAAGTGGATCTGCATATACTTTTGTCTCTGTAAAACTAAAGAAAAGCTACTTTTCTTTCTGCTTACCAGGAGATTCTCAAGATGCATTCACTAGCAGTGTGAAGGACACACACACACACACACACACACACAGGAGAACTCTGAAACAATAGCTATCTGGACTTTGATGTCACTTCCTCTCAAAAAGTAGGCTTGTCACAAACTACTTTGTCCATTGTTTATTGAAAGAGGAAACTGGAAAGCCTGAATTTATAGCACAGCAGTCCAGGGCTAAAAGCAGGGAGGAAAGCGGAAATATGTTTACCTAAGCCGTCTCTTTGCAAGATTCTTGGAGCATATCCTTTCCATACTACTCTGAAGATTAAGCAGGGCTGTAATTGCTTGTTTCAAACACTCTTTGTCCTCTTCATCTTCACTCTTTTCTTCTAATTGCTATGAATGTGGGAAGAAAATACTATGTAAGTTTTCAAATTTAATTTCATCCATTGGTGACAAGTACTGTTCTTTTCTTATTCGTTAACGTTAACAAATTGACAAACTACATAATAATCAGTGTTAAGAGTCTCGTAGAACAGCACAAAAAACCTAGTCAAAAGTTCTTGTCATATGAAAGGATTTAGAGCTGAGATAGTGGCTGTAAACTTTGGCTTTTCTTGGGGATATAACTGGGATATGCAACAGGATATATGCTGTAATGCAGATGAACAAATTCATTCTGGGGACTAGGATATGGAATAATGGATTCTAAGTATAGGAAAAAGATTCCACCTAAACATTAGGAATAATCTTCTGACAGTAAGAGCTGTTCGGCAGTAGACTGTGCTGCCTTGGAACACAGTCGAGTCTCCTTCTCTGATGGTTCTTAAGCAGAGATTGGGCGGACATCTCTTGGGAGGTACTTTGACTTTAAGTTCCTGCATTGCGGGGGTTGGACTGAAGAGCCCTTGTGGTCTCTTCCAACTCTATGATTCCATAATTGTGATAAATTTAGAATTAATAATGTAATCCAGTGCTATTATGGAGGTTTGTGGCAAAACCCAAAAAATCCTTTAACTTTCATGGAATTTCAAGCTTCTTCGGCTGAATGTCATATGACTTCACCAATCTCACCACCAACCAAAAAACAAAAACAAAACACCACTCTTATATGATTGGGAAATCTATGGAATGTTTATATTTTTATTAACAGATGATTTAAAGAGTAATTATGGAAAAGAAATAATAGTATTGTTAATAGGTATACCAAGGGACATGGGTTCTGTAGATTCATAGAATAGAACACATGGATCATCTAGTCTAACCCCATGCCATGAAGGAAAACCACAATCAAAGTACCCCTGACAGATGGCCATCCAGCCTCTGTTTAAAAGTTTCCAAAGGAGGAGCTTCAACGACACTCCGAGGCAGAGAGTTCCACTACCCAACACCTCAAGGATCTGAACAGATCCTTGGAATCTGTTTATTAGAAGATGCAATTATCGGACAGAACCAATTACACATGATCAATCTCTTCTGAAAATAATTGAGGTAAATGTTCTATTCACATAATAAATGACTGTTTTAGGTAGGAACAATAGAGAAAGAAATGTCTGCTAAAAAAGTGATAACACGAAATCAATTATGTCAATTAACTAGTTGTCTTTTTAAAAAGTCTTAAATGTAGATTTAATCAAGATAAAGTAAAAAAGAAAACCAAACACAATATTTTACCAAACCTAAGCAGCATGAAACATACAACCTGCAGAAAGAAACTTTCTACCACATATAATACATGATACTTGGCCTCAAATTGCTCACAACTTATGGAATCAGATACATATTAAAGTGTTTGTGCAAAACAAGTCAAGATACTTTCACATTAAAAAAAGATGGATAAGATTGTGGCTGATTTAGTTGTATAGATATTGTAAACATGCTCTATATTATGAGGTTAAAGCAGCTGTATTTTATCACATACTTCTTTAAATCTGACTACTAAAATGCCTATACACCAACACCATCTAATGTCTAAATAAGGTAACTGCAAAAGCATAGAAGAGCTTTTAAAATATGTACATCTGCACTCAATTATAAATTGAGATAACAGAGATTCTGAAGTCTTTCACTAAAATTAAGAGAGATTTTAAAATGTTAATTTTAATTAATATGATGCAATGCACCAAAGATGGTATTTTGCTTGCACATAACAGTGTTTCAGCCTCCCCTTCTGGAAAATGTTGACCTCTGAAATGGCACCATAAACTACCACTGCCAGGAAGAACAACTGTACCTTCCCCCAACAATGTATAAGTGACAGTGCTTTAGAAATAACCTTTTAAAAATACTAAATTGAATAATTAACGTCTTACCTTTAAAACTTCAAAATAGTGAAGGCAATGGTAAACAGGAACTAGAAGTAACCTTGGTAAAACATACTGAACAGCTTCTTTAAAACCATCTCCTATTGACTGAAAATAAAACAGTTGTTTCAATCTTATGAAACAGTCTTATGGCAACAACCTCTGCAATGTCCAGTGTGCTACTTTACATACCTGCAAATAGAATGCTGCTCCAGGCTTTGACAACTGACTAAGAAAGTGGTCATGAAAGCCAGTCCGTAAAATATCTTGAGTATAGGTTTCATATGGATCAAATGCAAGTTCCTAAACAAAGGATTACAGAATAGTTTAGTAGACTCTAACACTGTTTGAAAGTTACCATGAAAAAAATGACTCAGTTATAAATTCAAATATTTAATTGGGAAATTTGTAATTAAACTTTAACCCCTTCAATGAATTAGAGACATCCAAGGGAACACAATTTGGTTCAATTTAAGGGCATGTAGCCTCAACAAAATAATGTAATTTTCCTATCCTTACCAAGTTCCTATTCCACGCTCTGAGTCTCTCTCCCCCCGCCCCCCACCCCACCCCATAGTTTTCTACAGTATCCAGAATGAAATTACAGAACAGCAATGTTCCATAATACTAGCAGTTTCAACTATGTTAAACCCAGTAAATCTTCAGTATGGCCTTACCATTCAACAGTAAGTGCACAGGAGCAGGACAGAAATTTGACAGATGAAGAGATTCATTTCCTTTCTTAGAAACACACTTTGGTAAAATGTGGGCTCCAAAGTGACAATTAAACTATCTTGCTAAATGTGCACAAATTTGGACTTAATAGAGCTGCCATCTTGGACACCTTTCTGGCCAGTCAAAAAGGCACCTTAAAGGAAGGAAGTAGCAAGGAAGCTTCCGGTATTGGGCAAATGGTGACTCTGTTTGACTATTCAACACCAACTGCAAATTCTGTGATTGGGTACCTATGCACTCTTGCGGACAAGATTGCATTGCCTAAAAAACCTATTAACATGAGAGTGAACTGATGGAGACACACCCTCTAATCTCCCATCTTTGGTCCTCCGGGTGTTTTGGACTTCAGCTCCCACAATTCCAAATGGCTGGTAAACTCGCTGGGATTTCTGGGAGTTGAAGTCCAAAGCAACTGGAGGACATAAGGTTGGTAACCACTTCTCTAATCTAAACCCGACAGATAATGCAGTGACCTGACACCTCAAAGTGTTTGGTCTCAGACCATTTTGAAGGCTGTCCTAAAGAATAGGTCATGAGTCAGGTTTATGAGTCAGGTTTATACTGTCCAAGTGTATCATACGTGAACAACACACTTGTATAAATGTTTTCCAAGTTCTTTTATATACATATTCTGTGCCCACTGGCATCATGAAGCCATATTTGTTTGTATCACTTTTTTTGAATATCCCTTTCTTATAATGATCACCTCTCAAAGTCATCAAACTTTGAATCTGGATATCATATTGGTCCCTAGCTTAATAGCTTTAGCTTCTTTAGTAGCATCCATGGACAGGCTACTGACATTCAAGGTAGTTGTTGACACCATAGCCATGTAGGCCAAAGTGGTGTTATTAAAATCACATTCCTTCTCCTGCTGAATTTTCAGATGCTCTTTTGGAAATAACTTTATTGGAAGAAATGCATACCATCATCCCCTTGGCCAAGAGAACGATAATGCATCATAGGCCTAAGTAATGATTAATACCTTTCTACTTTTATCCTTCCAGAAGCAAATCAGGCCCAAACGGACTGCTTACTTTCCAGAACACTGCTGAATGAAGCATCAATGGATGTATTGAATTCATACTCAGAAAGTCTGCATGTATATTCAATTTTCCCTTGACATAAACAGCAGATATTGATTGCAGACATTCTGAAACCTGTCTGATTCTTTGCAAGTTTCTTGGATGAAATCTCCACCATGGTACTAAATAGTTGGCATTAATATTACATTAAATTCACCAATGATTACAACTGCAAATTCAAGAATTATAATATATTTTAAATGCTGCTTCCATTTCTCCTTTTTTATTGACAGTTCTATACTATCCTGAGAAGTATTGATCTGGGCAACTAAATGATTTCATAATTTATCCCAAATTCTTATCTTTTCAGAGCTGTGATAGTTATTCCCATGTCCCATGCAATTTTGTTTACAGAGCCAGTCCTCTAAATACAAGTGTATATGAATTCCTTTTTGTCTGAGGTACACCACTAGGGGTATTAATACCTTTGGAAAAACTCTTGGGTCAGGTGCCAGTCTGAATATTTGAGCCCTGAACTGATAGCGACTGTCCTGACACTGCAAGCTTAACTATTTCTTGTCTGTCATTGGCAATGATATGGAAATTACAGATAGATTTAATGATTTTGATAGATTGAAAAGATGCACATTTTAATATTCCAATGGCAACGACAGACTCTTTTAAATCTTTAAATATTTCTGAAAGTAACATTTCACAACTTTTTAGTTGCTGCTTTCTAAAAAAGGTTGCTATTTTATGTTTATCTTTGTCCTTGGTTTTTTTTTTTACTGTTTTGAAATAATATTAATTTTAACACGCGTGAAGCTGCCTTGTTAACCTCCTTTTCTTCATCTTCCTTTCAGGAATTTCCTCTACATTAATTTCCTCTTCATTGATCCACTGATTTCATCCATCAATTCAACCTCTACATCAAATCAACATATTTCTATTTCCCTCTGCATAATTTTAGACTCGCTTGTGATTCGATATGTCAGTCTTTCTTTTCCTATTCTCAGCAATTTCTACTAGTTCAACTTAAAATTTATTAAATATTTTAAATGCATTATACTTAAATATGATCATTGCTTACAGTATCACTGCTATCTCCTACAATTATTCTAAACATTTTCCTACTTTTTCACATATCAATTTTTGCAAATCTGAATCAATCTCTGTAACTACATTCCTCTCATTTTTGGGGTATAAAATGATCTGCCTTATTGTAATGGACTCAAGCTTTTGTATTTCCAGCCTAGCTATCTGCTGATCTCCAACCCTTTTGTATCACGACTCATGTGTCTGACATCAGTAAAGATGTTATAAATTTAAGAGATATATCTATCACAGGTGAGTAATTCACTACTTCTCTGTCATGACGTTCCAGCCTTGCTATGTCATAATTGTGAGTTAGTGATGGCGACTCTTACATAACTGGGCATGCTCTGTCTGCAGAAGCACATTCTAGCATAGCCCCCAACCTGAAGTCCTGCTTTTTGAGATGGCAATTTGAAGCAGCTTTAAAGACCTCATTACTGCTACAATGATTTTCTCTGGCTTTTTTGTGCTCACAAGTAAATTGCTGCTACTGTCATATTTTTTTCTGGTTTGTTGAGCTCACAGGTATATTATCTGCATTTCTTTTGTCTCTTTTCCTTTATTTCTGTGTGAGGCCTGCTGCATCCCTCCCCGGAAAACATTTTATGTGCTCACATTCTCCTAAATTTACTTCCTTGCTCCTTTTGAGTTCTTTTGTTTTACTCTCACTGGAGGAGTGTAATATTTTTCTTACTTCCACTTTCCATTCCTTTTCAGAGCCACGCTGTGCTGAGACCATCTGGGTGAAACTAATTTTAACGGTCTCTCAATCTGCTTCTCAGCAATTTGAGAGAAACTATCTTTTTTAGCTTTCCTTTCTCCTCACTGCTTCATTTCCCTATACCTTTCTATTTTATTCCTAATTATTCTCCAAATTAAAGGACAAATAGGGACCAGGATTTGCTTCACCTGGTTTGCAGGGAAAAAAAAGAAAAAGATGTTGAAAGGAAAGGGGTCTTAATGGTGCTAATTGAAAAAGAACATAAGGAGTTTGGCACACAGGGATTAACTCATCAGTAAATGTATTGGTCCTTTTGTGCCATCTCAAGAACTGGGCATCTCCTCAAGCTTTCCAAATCAGCCCTATTCATTTTAGTATCATTATCTGAAGTATATCCCCATTTGCAACAAATGATTAGTCATCGTTTATTTGATTCTACTAATTGTTTCCACATGCAGGCTGCTTTCATCATTTAAAATCTATTCAATATTCAACCAAAATCTTCAATTTAAACCCAAAATATTCAGTCTTCTGGGGCATCAGAGAACAATTTTCACCATCTTCTCCATGACAACTCTGCCAATATTTGAAGAATGCTATAATGCCTTCCTCGTGTCTTTTCTCCAGGATACATATATCTAGTTTCTGAATCCTTTCCATTTTATATATATTCATCAAAATAAATGTGGCACTCAAAAGTAGACAGAGATATAACATGCAATGGTTATTAGAGATAAGGAGTGACAGGACGAAGGTATTTACATCAGAGAGAAAAGAAAAGATCAGCATCATTATATCTGTGTAGGAATACTATGACCTTATTACTACATACCTCAGCTAAATCTTCAAAACAGCTTCCAACTAAAGGATGGGGACTGCCTTCATCTGTCATTTCTACTGTATCTTCAATATGGCCCAACAGTTTCACACTAAGTTCATGAATATCTGATATGCGACTGAATATATTTTCTACATCCTGCAAAAAATGAATAAATTGATAATTAATAATTGTAGGTGAGAGTTAAGGTTGACACATTAAATTGTAAATTAAAGTTAGAACAATTACTGCTAGGTAGACTATATTGCAGAAGGCTTCAAGGAGATGTGGTCAAATCTTTACAAAGATGTGCTTCCTAGTCATGGGTCTGGTAACCGTTTCAGGCATTTAATATGTGTTTTTGTACTGTTTGTTTCATTCGGATGGCACGAAACAATACACCCCCCTCTGGTATGGAAATGTCAGTGAAATGAAAGGTAAGTGGGAACGGTCATTGTTTGGTCGCCTGATTTTCAGCACTTGGCTGTAGGTCCTGGCAGGCGCGGGCACATTGGGCCTGCAAGCCATACACACACACTGTTTCCAAGGAGAGTTCATGTATGGCTTGCAGGCCCAGAAAGCACCCACGCCTGCTAGTGCCTAAACCTGAGGGGAAGAGAAAGCCCACCCACTGCTGCCAATGGGATGAAAATATTCATTTTTTTCAGACCTGGTATGAAAAAGCTCATTTGGAAAGGAACCCATTTTTGGGAGAGGTGCTCAAAAACGATAACTGGGCCTTACAAATGAAATAAACAGAAACGGATAGTGATTCTATACAAAATCACAAGACTACAGCTTTCCTTTTGGGTAAAGGGCTAGGCCCTTAGTCTTTTGCTTGATTTGTCAAGATACTGGTGAAATATGTAATCTGGCAGTAACAAACACATCTCACAGAAAAATTAATTCCTTTTGACTTCAGGGATAAACACAAACCTGCTGAGTTGCAGAAATATGTTTGTGGGAAATAATGTAGCAAACAATATAATACAGCATGAGCACGGAAAGACTAGGATTCTGCTCTAGCTGATCCTACTGCAGCCTTACAACAGTCAAGACAAACAGCAGCTGCCTTTTAATCCACTACTGTACTGGCATGAACAGCAAAATGAAGTCTTCAGCTATATCCACTCTCTGTGTAAGTTGGAGCAATCAGTGGCAGGTATAAACACACTTTTCATTCAAGATAAACCTGGAATCCTCAGGGCCCCTGGCTTCTTACAATGTGCAAAATGTGCTAAGAATGTGAAGGTGTAAAACAGTTTGCGGGAAACTGTTGTGCCAATCAAACTTGCGATCCAATAAAAGATGCTATCTGGAACTTAACATGTGTCTGCTTGATACAATTCGGGTCACAAATGCTATAAAATCAAACAACATGTATACTGTTTTATCCAATATTAAAATCTTGTGCTCATGGGCTTCCTAAACCAGAGACTTTGTTTTCAACATTCTAGTAACAAATTCCATATAGTAAAAATGTAAAATACTTACATGACCTGAAAATAGCTTTGGATTGGTAATAAAAGGTTCTCTGAACACTTTTATTATGAGATTTAGCTCTCTTATGTACTGTCGAACTTCTGCCATGAATGATTTCACAATATCATAGTACGTTTGTTCTCCTGATGTGGAGGGTTCTTCATCAGATAATGTTAGTGTACTAATATCCTCTACATCCTGATGGAACATATCCATCAGTACCTATTTATTTGAAGATGGAAGAAAGAAAATTAATGTTAGGGTTGTTTAAACTAAATTAAACAGGCACTGGAGAAATAAAATCAGAATTATGCCTGAAATTGGCTCACTAAAGCATGGATAACAAAAAAAAAAGTTTCCAGAAAATTAGCAGACATATGCCCCAAATTAGTCTGTGATCTACCAAATGACTCCGTAGAAATATCTAGGATTGGAACCCAAGAAAAAGGGACAGGGAAATCTTAAATCCTCATCAGAAAATATTCCATTCTTTACAGAGTGAAAGAAAAGTTCATTTATAATTCTGTTTAGCAATTAGATTCACTGTATGTATTAAATTGTGAGAATGGTGATGCACAGGGTGTATATATTAATTGTTGTTTAAGAATTCATTTAAGGAAATAGTGTTAAAGGGAAAGGGAAATGTATAAAGAAGGAAATATATTAGACTGATAAAATATAAAGATGTTTCAAGTAATCATTTTGAAACAATCTTGAAACTTCTTGAAACAGTTGTGGAAATCTTGAAGATTTCCTCATAGAAAATGGTGTAACAATGCCAGAGACATCCTCCTTCTCCTTTACTTAAGCTTTCTACAGAAAGAAGGCAGAACTTCTTTAACAGTATTAAAAATGGTGTAGAGGGGACTCCTCCTTCTATTTACAAAAGTATCTACTAAACTGAAGTCCCTTCTCCTCACGGTGACCTTGTAGAGGAGCTCTGCTAGATGCAATAAAGTATATAGTAACTGGAAATGTTACCCACCTTATCAGCACACATTGCCACTTTGATGTCTTGTTTCGTGATTTCATCATGTCTTATATTTCTTACATAGTTCCCAACCAACTTTAAAATATCTGCTGAAATGTATTCTAATACTGCTACTATGTAAAGAGATACTTGGTGGTCAACTTTATAACCGAGAACTTCCTGAAAATGAAAGATAATTTAATAACATCAAGTTATGCAGATATACACTAAAGAACTGTACATTTCTCTATATATTTCTACACTAACCCACTTTATCAGCCATCAAATAATAAATGTATTAACTAGACATCATATAAGAGAGCTAAGAGTAACACTGAGTTTAAGCAGCAAAAGAACGAGATATTTAATTACACAATGTAGTTTCACTACATTTGTTACAGTAGTTAAATAGCACATAAATTTAAATTCAGTACAATCCTACCAAATAATCGTTAATACTACAGGACTTTCTTCCCTTTTTCTTTCATCTCAAAGATCTTCATGCCACTCTCCAAACTGCCTCCACTGCTTCCTCAGACTCTTTGAGCAAATTCTAGGGTACATTAGGTTGTGGGGAAAGGAAAGGAAATTTTACCCCTTTTCTCCAGTTCTGTTAACCAAGGCAATTTTATCTGAGGAACAATTAAACTCCAATCACTACACCTTTTTGCTGAATGACTGAGTCTAGTACAATGAGTATTTAGTGTGCGAAATATCAGGAATTCTGCAGTGAGGTCTTTTAATGGTCTGAGGGTAGTATCTATCAACCCATTGTTGGAATCCATTGTAACCTGAAAGGAGAAACATCTCTTTCACAGTGCGGCCCCCACAGATTCCAAAACTAACTCTGCAGAGTCAAAAAACCATCTAGAACTAGTGTTCAGGAAAGAACAGTGAAATGAGAAAGGGTAGGAAAATTCAACGGCAGCCAACAATGTAATGTTAGATTTAGCACTAAGGTGCTTACTTGCACTCAAATATTTATGTATTCTCTGCCTCTAAATAAAGCTGGTTACGAGAAGGAGATGTGCAGGAATCTTAAAAAACTATATTCCAGGCCTTGCTGTATTATGCAACAGCTCTTACTGGCTGGAACCTGAGGCTTGAAAAATATATGTATCACACCAAGTATTTTTCCTGTTAGAAATGTTGCAAGTGTTCTCCTGAGTTAAAAATAGATCTCTAGCAGGTATATAGATCCACATAGTGAAAGCAATGGTATTCCCCATAGTCACCTACAGATGTGAGAGCTGGACCATAGGGAAGGCTGAACGAAAGAAAATAGATGCTTTAGAACTGTGGTGCTGGAGGAAAGTTCTGAGAGTGCCTTGGACTGCGAGAAGATCCAACCAGTCCATACTTCAGGAAATAAAGCCTGACTGCTCATTGGAAGGAAGGATAGTAAGAGGCAAAGATGAAGTACTTTGGCCACATGAGAAAAAAATAAAGTTTAGAAAAGACAATTATGCTGGAGAAAATAGAAGAAAAAAGGAAGAGGGGCCAACCAAGGGCAAGATGGATGGATGGCATCCTTGAAGTGACTGGATTGACCTTGAAGGAGTTGGGGGTGGTGACAGCCGACCGGGAGCTCTGGCATAGGCTGGTCCATGAGATCACGAAGAATCGGAAGCGACTGAACGAATAAACAACACCAGCAGGTATATAGAAATCCACATATTTTGCCTGGTCACCACCCCCCCCCTTAAAAAACCCCCCACACCTCACACTCAGCTAAACCTAGCTGGAATCAGCACTAGCTAGGATGACAGACTGCTGGGTCAATCTCAACAGGTGTGAAGATAAAATCCAGAAAAGAGTTTAAGAGATCAATTTCTGTGTAGAACACATAATGAAGAACAAACATCACTAATTCTGCAATATGTTACATTCTGCATTAATAATACCCACTTTTAATAGTGGGTGAATTTTTTCTACTGGAAGAAATAATGGATTTTTTCGCTTCCTCTTTTCAATTGCAGACTGAGCATCAGCTATTGCCCACTTGTCAATAGGATGGGGAAAACTCTTTTGTACACGATCCTGTTAACACAAAAATCAGGTATTAATAATAAAGCTTTATTTATATTCCGCCCTATCTCCCCAAAGCTAGGCATGTAATCAGTTATTATATAACAATTGTTTAATATACCTTAAATAACTGAAAGAGCTTTTATTTGTTCAACTACCCTCATTAAACAGAAGTGAGATCAAAGGCAGATCAAGCAACACACAAAATCAATCACAGAAACAAACAAACAAAAAAAGGCCAAAGATAAAACTATTCAAATTCCTACCGTAGTTAAAAAACGAAATAAATTCCCAGGCAAACAAATACGTTTTCATCAGCTATCTCAACAAACAAACCAAAACACACAACATAGGTGAAGGGACAAACTTCTCTGAGAAAAGCATTCCAAGGTGTGATGGTAAGCACAGAAAAGACTTTTCCCTTTATAATCTCATAGCAGTTTTCTTATCAAAAGAAAACAAGTGATCATAATGCTCAAGGAGGCTAAAAAAGGAGGAGCTGTTTCTTAGGGCACTTGGGTCTTAAACTACTGATGGCTTTAAAGTAGATGTGGGCAAAGTATAGCATTGGAGCCAAACGCATCCTCCCTCATTTGTTTTTACAGCCCCCAAGCCTCACATACTCTCAAGATCAACTTTTCTAGTCAATAAAGTTTCCTTTTTGGGAAGCTTCCCGGATGGTACTTAACCTTTTAAACAAGTTGCAGCACCTTTCCTTGTACTTTAACAATATTAAGTTTCAAGCCACTTCTCATTTTGTTTTTTGGGAGTATTTTTGGCATTCCCTGGAGCCACAAGCAATCTAAAGTAAAAACTATATGTTAAATTAAACATGGGAGAAAACATAGTGATAATGGTGGGTCCAAGAGAAACCTTGGCTGTGCACCTCCTCTTTCAGGGAAGTAGAACCACCATTGAACTTCCCAGATACAGAAACCGCCTGTCTAGAGATCTTCCAAAGGAAATAGCTTCACTTTATTAGCAGAATTCATTAATAAATATATAAAAGAAATGTAAATAACAGTCTTTATATATTTGCATATAGCCAGTATTTAGCACATATTCTAAAAGATTAAAAATACAGTCATTTTTGTATGAAATTTTCCCCACAATAAACATGTGTCTAAAGCGGTCTGGAGCACAAAGAGTTAAGATAACATACAATTCAAAGTATATAAATATTTACAACATCATGAGTTTAACAAAATACCAATAATTCAGTGATGAAGTCCCGAGCTACTAATACTGCATCAACAAGCACATAGATAGTTACAAGATGAACTAAGAACTATTTTTCTACCTCTACATCCTGGAAGCTTCTGGGCTGGGCTTGGCACAGCATGTTTAGCAACTGCAGAATTAATTCCTCAACATACTGCAAGGCATCTTCGGTAGATGAGAGTTTAGGGTGGACTTGCATCTGAACCTACATTCAACATAAAATAATCAGACTTAAATTTACAATTATACTATTCAGCTGCATCTTAGAAAAACGAACATTTGTAAATATAGGCTCCGCAAACTATCTGTTACACCAGGTTAATCAAGAAGCTGTTTTGATGTCTGATTTTTTTCTAGACTGTACTGTGATGCAGAAAATACTAAAAGCATGATTGTAACAATATGTTTTCTTTCAAGTCCAACTTTCTGTATCTTCCCCTATGGACCACCTATATAAAGATACTTATATAAATGTTTATCACCTAACATTCAAGGAACCTGTGGCACCATGTAATAAATCAATATTAAGAGTTCAACACAATTTAAAATATAGTAAAATTGGTACTGCTTTCTTCCTAAGCAGCAGTCTAGTAGCAAGAAACTGAGAGAACCAACACCGTTTAAGCTGTAGGTCCCCTCACGGAGATAGAGCAGGATACAAATAAAGTATTATTATTATTATTATTATTAAGTGGCCATTTAAGAATAGAGAAACAAAACAAACAACTAAAAAGGAAAAGTGCAAAACCATGTACAAGAATTTCTTGGTTCAGATTCCATTGCATATAAACTAAGTTATGAAGTGAAAGTTATTTAAAATCAATGTGTGCTAAAATATGAAGAAAATTGGAAGAAATGTATGACTTGAATCCACTTCTTATCGACAGCGTAGAAACTCGTAAACCCATCATCGTCAGGACAGCTTACATGACTAAATGTCCCACCCTGAAAATGTCTGCAGACAGAATACTGGTCTACTAGAGAAAGATATTCTGGCTACAGATGTAATATATCTGAAAACTGTGAAGCAACAGGTAAGGTTTTTGTAGGCAAAATGGAAATTTGGATACAGTAAATACAATACTTTATAGATTTAAGCACACAAACAGAGCATTCTGTCCAAATAATCAGTTAGTGTACAGTGCTACTAAACCATTACATATTCTTTATTTATTTACCCAATTTATACTCCGCCTTTGTCTATCCCAAGGGGGACTCAAGGTGGCTTACATATGGCAATTATTCAATGCCTTAAACACATAAAACATTAAGCTTAAAATAAATTGAATTAAAATTAATACACATTAAACATTTAAAAATTACATTCAGTATTAAAATCATGCCATCCTGAAATTATAGTCTAAGGACGTTCTGTAGTCTTTGCACTATTCCAATTATATTATTGCACTGCGCAATAATAAACCTGATTCCAAAGCCAGGTTTTTACTCTCCTTCTGAAGGCTAGGAGGGAGGGGGCTGATCTAATGTTGCTAGGGAGGGAGTTCCGCAGCCAAGGGGCCACCTCTGAGAAGGCCCTGTCGCTCATCCCAACCAGTCATGCTTGCGAAGAAGGTGGGACCGAGAGCAGGGCCTTTGCAGACTATCTTAATTTCCAAGGTGGTCCATAGGGGAAGATACGTTCGGAAAGGTAAACTGGGCTGGGACCATTTAGGGCTTTATAGTCTAAAGCCAGCACTTTGAATTGTGCTTGGTAGCAGACTGGTGGCCAGTGGAGCTGATGTAACAGGGGGGTTGTATGCTCCCTGTACACCACTCCGGTGAGCAACCTGGCTGCCGTCCATTGGACCAATTGAAGTTTCTGAACAGTCTTCAAAGGCAACCCCACATACAGCACACTGCAGTAATCTATATGGGATGTAACCAGAGCATGGACCACCACGGCCAAGTCAGACTTCCCAAGGTATGGATGCAACTGGTGCACAAATTTTTGTTGTGCAAAAGCCCCCCTGGCCACCGCTGAAACCTGGGGTTCCAGGCTGAATTCAGTTTCAATTTGTTTGCTCTTATCCAGACCATCACAGCTGCCAAGAACTGGTTCAGAACCTGAACAGCCTCCTTCATAGCAAGTGGAAAGGAGTGATATAGTTAAACATCATCTGCGTATAGATAACATCCAACTCCAAAACTCTGGATGATCTTTCCCAACGGCTTCATGTAGATATTAAACAACATGGGACACAGTATTGAACCCTGTGAGACCCCACAAGACAAAGGCTGTGGGCCGAGCAGGTGTCGCCCAACTACACCTTCTGGGAATGGCCCTCCAGGAAGGACCGAATCTGCTATAGAACAGTACCTCCAAGGCCCATTCCTGCCAGGCGTCCCAGAAGGATACCGTGGTCTGTGGTTTCGAAGGTTGCTGAGAGGTCCAGCAGAACCAACAGGGACACATTCCCCCTGTCCAGTTTCCAGTGTAGATCATCCACTAAGGCAACCAAGGCTGTTTCAATTTCATGTCCCAGCCTCAAGCCAGACTGCACCAGATCTAGATAATCCGTGTCTTCCAAGAACACCTGGAGGTGCGAGGCCACCACATGTTCCATGACTTTGCCCAAAAAGGGGAGACTGGAAACTGGCCGATAGTTGAGTGATTTTATTACATCTTGTTTTAAGCTGGCTGGAATCTTGCCTTCCCTTTTGAAGGAGCCACAGACTGCCTTAATTCATATTTAGTGAAACCCATGTTGTGACCCCCATAACTATGCCTAAGCCTTTAAAAAGTCATCTAAGAGTGGTTCAGATGTTGACTTGCCAGTTATTGCCCAAATCAGTTGGAAAGGATGATGATAGTTACTCTCTACTGGTGGACAGACTCTGCCATTATAGATACCGCTGCTAAAGCTTCAGAGAAACCAGTGCATGAGAAGCTTTTGCTGGTGATGTTACTAACTGTTGTTGCTAGTGTTACGACCCACAAAAGAAGTCCTCCTGCAAAAGGAATGTGCCACTTGATCAACATGTGCTGTGTTCTTTTCAGTATGTATATGTATGTGAGGGACCAAGATCTGCTAAGCTGAGAAGAATCTGCCTTTTCCCATGGCTAGAGTAAGGTGGCAGATTTAATATACAGTAAAAGATCTGCCATTCTGCTCTTCCTCGGTCCCGCTTAGAATTGCTTTGTTATTGGCTGTACTGTACCTTTGGCTAATTCCATAATTGGGGTGTGCAGGCATTGTGTCCACGTGTGAAGCTAAGTTTGAAACTTGGGGCCATGCATTTACATATATTTGTATACACACAAGCCATTCCTCTGTGATTCCTTTTTCAAATGAAGATCAGACTAGAAATATCCTGAATAAATACTAGTAACAGAAAGTCTAATTTTACCTTCTTACATTCTGCAGAAATACTACCACTTCTTAGCGACCCCTCGATACACAGAAACCCCACATCACATTTATAGACACATGCAACTTTCTTGTTGCAAGCCCAGACTAAATTCCACAGCTATTATTAACCATATCAGCTTTCAATAGATTAGTGCTGAAAATGTTTTGCTTAAGATATAGCCTGGCTATTTAATGAAACCCAACTGCAATTAAGTAAGTGCTCCTATTCAATCCCTTTTTATTTTCAGCCTGCAGTGTTTCCTCAAACTTAGAGAACCAGAGACCATGACATATCATGTCAGGTGTGCCATGATGCATTTAGTAATGCATCCGCAGATGCTGAAATTAATCTTTTGCCCATGAACTAAAAAAAACTACTGATTTGGAGGTAAACTTTCTTAAAGTAATTTTCTTTTGAGTTAAAACACATTTCCTTTCCAGGCAACAGAAATCAAGTCATTTAAAAGCAGTGCTACACACTGTAATTATTGTAAAACACTGTTTTTATATAGGTGTTTTTGTAGCCAATATATTATCATTTGAACTTTTTACAATTCAGCAACACTTAGCATTTGGACTACAATTCTAACTAACATTACTAGGGAGTAAGTCTGAATTATTTTAGTAAGATCTCGGCAAATAGGAACAGAATTACACTGTTAATTCTTCCTGGTTACAACAGCATCAAGGTAAAGTAGATGGAAACAACTGAAATTGAGACAACTGCATAGATAACTTTGTGACAGGATTACAAACAGAAACTGAAATATGGGTGTTCCAAACAAGAGCTTCTAGTAGCCTGAAGGCAAATACAAAAGAAACTGGCTTCTCCAAGTCTCAGCCCCTCAATCAAGTTTATTAAAATTTTATAAATCTAGAGAAAAACTATTATAAATCCCTATTTTTTCAGTCACAACACTCAGTTCCTACGTTCCATTATAAACATGTCAATAATAGCACATGTGTATGGTAATCCTTCTCATGACAACCACATCATTGTAAATGAAATCACAATTAAAATAAATGCTTGTTGTACTAGGCCCACAACTAAAGTCAGTAATTACAAAAGATTACATTTATACATGATAGTCAGTGGTTGTGTAAGTGTAGCTTTCATGCACATAAGTCCTTTACAGAAGGAATTTTCCCTCCCTACATTCTCCTTCCTACCAGCTGTTAGGAATGTGGGGGCTGAAGTCCAAAACACCTGGAGGGCTGAAGTTTGCCCATACATGGTCTAGATCAGTGGTTCTCAACCTGGGGTCCCAAGATGTTTTTTGGCCTACAACTCCCAGAAATCCCAGCCAGTTTAGCAGCTGTTAGGATTTCTGGGAGTTGAAGGCAAAAAACATCTGGGGATCCCAGGTTGAGAACCACTGGTCTAGATTGTGGGAAGTCATAATCCCACTTTGTTCTGCTTTGGTCAAGCCTCACCGGAATAACACTGCATCCAGTTCTGGGCCTCACATTCAGGAAGGATATTGACAAGCTAAAATGTGTCCAGAGAAGGGCGACCAAAATTAACAAAGGTTTGGAAATCGAATCCCTATGAGGAACGGCTTGGGGAGCTGGGTACATTTAGGTTGGAGAAGTCTGAGAGGTGACATGATTAAGTGTATGAAAAGTTGTTACACTGAGGAGGGGGCAGGCTTGTTTTTTTGTCGCTCTGGAGATAAGGATACAATGAATTAAAACTGCAGGAAAAGAAATTGCACCTAAGGATTAGGAAGAATTGATGGCAAAAGCTGTTCAGCAGCAGAATATGCTGCCTGGGAGTCCGGTGGAGTCACCTTCTGCGGAGGTTTTTAAGCAGAAGCTGGATGGCCATCTGGTGGGAGTGCCTGTTTTGTATTCCTGCATGACAGAATGCGGTCGGACTGGATAGCCCAGGCATGTGCAAACTTGGGCCCTCCAGGTGTTTTGGACTTCAACTCCCACAATTCTGTTAACAGGTTGTTAGGAATTGTGCAAGTTGAAGTCCAAAACACCTGGAGGGCCCAAGTTTGCTCATGCCTGGTTTTGTCCATGCCTGCACGAGGAGATAATTATTATATCTTATCACCTCTCTTCCTTTTATTAAAAAGTCTTTCTTTTATCAAGCTGAACTTGCCCAGCTCCTTCTGAACTTCCTCAATGAGTTTTAAGGAGAAGCTGAATGGCCATCTGGTGTGAGTGCCTTTATTGCTGTATGGCAGAATGCTATTGGACTGGATAACCCAGCCTTCCAAACCTTTGATCATTTTGGTCACAAATTGCGGGGCCCAGAACCGGATGCAGTGTTATTCTGGGTGAGGTCTGACCAAAGCAGAATAGATTATTATTTCCCTTGATCTAGACACTATAGATTACAATATCTTGCTTTTAAAAAGCCCTATGCATACTTAAACTAGCCATGATTGCAGAAGAGGCTGAATGGCCATCTGCTTTGATTGTGTGCATGGCAGTGAGTTGGACTGGATGGTAATTGGGGTCTCTTCCCACTGCATGATTCTACAGAGAGCACCTCTTCTTTTCCAAATGCGCTTTGCAGTTTGGGGGTCCTCCTAGACTCCGTGCTGAACCTGGAGGCCCAGATGTCTGAGGTGGCCAGGAGAGCGTCTGCACAATTAAAACTTTTTTTTATAATAATTTTTATTATGTTTTCATACATACATTAATACAGCGTAGAAAGAATAGAAAAAAAAACATAAAAGAAGAAAAATAAAAGAAGAAAAAAAGTAATAATAATAAAGGAAATAATAGTGAGAGAGGATGAATAATTGGTTCCCTCCACCTCTACCCTTTTGTGTCTGTGGTCTGACTTCCCAACGTCCTCTGAGCGTATCGTGGAGAAGAGAGGAGTGTAGATTCCTCTGTTCTAATTTCCAATATTTGTATTTTTCTTCCTTCTTTTTACCAGCGTAGTCTCTGTCGAAAACCTTTTCTTATGTGCTGGACCAGTCTATCAATAATGGAAAACCTCTTTTTGTGATAAAGTCCTTGAGTCCTGACCAGTCAGTCTTTTTGTTTGATCCTTTTAATCTTTGGGATAGTTCTTCCATTTGGATAATATCAAATAGTTTAAGAATCCAATCTTCTATACTGGGTATCTCCTTCCGTTTCCAGGACTTGTTATGTACTGATGATTTTAACCTGTTAACTGTTTAACTGCTTTTTTGTATGTATGTATATTTGACACAGGCATCGAATTGTGCCTTTTTTTTGCAAGCTGCCCTGAGTCCCCCATCGGGGGTGAGAAGGGCGGGGTAGAAGTAACTGAAATAAATAAATAACAAATAAATCCGTTGTTGTTGTTATTATTATTATTATAGGTATTATTATTATTATTATTATTATAGGTTTTTGTTCAGCTGTGTGGAAGGGGCCAGAGTTGAAGGTAAACAACAAACTTCTAGCTTTGTTTCATGATCTCCGTTTTGGAGATCTAGTCAGTGATCTGAACTGCATTTAATGACGTTTAATACGTGTATATTTGAGGTTGTATTGCCACGCCAGAGTTGCGAACCGCTTTTGAGTCTCCCTATGGAGACACAAAGCGGGATATAAATAAACATCAGAAGATGAGTTCCAGAGCTGAGGGGCCACCACCGAGAAGGCCCTGTCCCTCGTCCCCACCAGACGCGATTGCGAAGGAGGTGGGACCGAGAGCAGGGCCCTTCCAGAAGATCTTAACAACCTTGATGGTTCATAGGGGAGAATCCGTTGTTGTTATTATTATTATTATTATAGGTTTTATTATTATTATTATTATTATTATTATTATTATTGGTTTTTGTTCAGCTGTGTGGAAGGGGCCAGAGTTGAAGGTAAACAACAAACTTCTAGCTTTGTTTCATGATCTTCGTTTTGGAGATCTAGTCAGTGATCTGACTTGCATTTAATGACGTTTAATACTTGTATATTTGAAGTTGTATTGCCATGCTTTAGTGGCGAACCGCTTTTGAGTCTCCCTATGGAGACACGAAGCGGGATATACATAAACATGAGAAGATGCCCTGCTTCTCCTCCTTGGAAACACGGGGCTCACCTTCTTCAAGGCGGGCACCAGCAGGCCCCGCCACTTGGGCGCGTTCTCCTCGCTGAAGAAGTCGTACTGCAGCGGCGGCGCCTGCATCCTGCCCGCCCCGTCCCGGGCCCTCGGCGTCGGGGAAGCGGCGGAGTCAGTGCTGGGGCCCAGCCCGGCCTGGCGGGGCCTGTCCCTGTCGCTGGGCCCGGGCCGAACCTGAGCAGGGCCGAGGCGGAGGGCGCCGCTGAGGCTGAGGCTGGGGCCAGGACCCGGCGTGGAGGCCCGGCGCCGGCGACATCCCTCCCTTCCCGGCCTCGCCTCACGCAGACCCCGGGCTCTCCGGCATCCTTCTCCTTCTGCTTCTCCTCGGCCCTGACAGGAAGGAAGCGGAAGTGCAGGCCGCAAAGCAACGGTGGCTGAGGGAGGGAGCCAAAGAGGGCTTCGAACTCTCGGGGGCGCTTCCCTTGCCGTCCCTGACGGTTGCAACCTCCGGCGCGTGCGCAGTGGGCACAAAGGCCGACGGGGCATGCGCAGTCGCTCTGCGCTCCCCCTCCCCTCCTCCTCCTCTGGCTCCGCCCCTCTCTCGCTCCAGTCCTGGCCTCGCTTCTTCCCTTTTCCGCGCCGTCCAGGCGTACGAGTCGAGAGCCGAGCCCTCAAGCTTCCTTCCACAACCTTGCTCCCCCGCCCCTCTCCACTTCCAGGATTACTAGTCGAACGCCGAAGTGTTTTCATGATCGGTGGTGGAGGGATGACAGCAAAGCAGAGCACCTCTTGTCATACCGCCACCTACCCCTTCTGATCACAGCGCCACCTGCGGCCTGGAGGACTCAAGTATTTTTTTTTATTAGTCATTTAAATACTGAAAGAGTATTCAGCAATCTCAAGCTAAATACCAAGGACAAACTGATCAGCTTCGATGTGGTACCTCTATTTACCATGGTCCCGGTAGCAGACACCATGGCACTCATCAACCAGAGGTTCCCAGAAGACATCACGGCTCTGTTTCACCATTGCCTCGCCACCAGTTACTTTCAGTGGGACAATGAATTCTACGAACAGAAAGATGGAGTAGCTATGGGGAGCCCTCTCAGCCCGGTCATAGCCAACTTCTACATGGAACACTTTGAAAAACAAGCCCTGGAGACAGCAACCAAAAGGCCCACGATATGGTTCAGATATGTGGATGACACCTTCACCATTTGGAGCCATGGAGAAGAAGAACTCAACAGGTTCCTGGAACATCTTAACAGCATCCACCCAAACATCCAGTTCACCATGGAAAAAGAAAATGAAGGAAGACTGCCTTTTCTAGATGTCCTAGTCATCCGTAAACCAGATCAACAATTGGGTCACACCGTCTACAGAAAACCCACACACACAGATAGATATCTACATAAAAACTCCAACCATCACCCAAGTAAAAAAAGAAGCACCATTAAAGCCTTGGCAGACCGTGCAAAAAGAATCTGTGAACCCCACCTCCTTCAAGATGAACTGAACCACCTCAACTGGGCTCTCCAGGCCAATGGATACTCCACCTCAGACATCAGAAGAGCTGCAAGACCAAGAACAAGCCAGAGTAAAGATGAAGATCCACCCAGAGGAAAAGTGTTCCTGCCATACATCAAGGGAACCACTGACCGCATAGGGAAGCTGATGAGGAAACACAACATACAAACAATCTACAAACCCACCAAGAAAATCCAACAAATGCTACGTTCAGCAAAGGACAAGAGGGATCCTCTCACCTCTGCAGGAGTCTACCGTATACCATGCAGCTGTGGACAAGTCTACATAGGGACACCAAACGCAGCAGCAGCCAGAATCAAGGAACATGAAAGGCACTGCAGACTACTTCAACCAGAGAAGTCAGCCATAGCAGAGCACCTGATGAACCAGCCTGGACACAGCATATTATTTGAGAACACAGAAATGCTGGACCACACCAACAACCCCCATGTCAGACTACACAGAGAAGCCATTGAAATCCACAAGCATGTGGACAATTTCAACAGAAAGGAGGAGACCATGAAAATGAACAAAATCTGGCTACCAGTATTAAAAAACTCTAAAATTACAACAGCAAAACAGCAGAGAGGAAACAACCAGGCACATCTTAACACCTCTCAACAAAAGATCCCCCCAGGCTCAGCCAGGCCTTCTAATGCTAATGAAGGTGGTCAGTTGAAACATTCACACCTAGCTCCAGCAGACAAGAGTCCTTTGTCCCACCTGGTCATTCCACAGATATATAAACCCATTTTCCTAATTCCAACAGACCTCACTACCTCTGAGGATGCTTGCCACAGATGCAGGCGAAACGTCAGGAGAAAATGCCTCTAGAACATGGCCATATAGCCCGAAAAAACCCACAAGACCCTAGTGATTCCAGCCATGAAAGCCTTCGACAATACATAGAAACTAAACTGTCAGAATTATTAAACCCCTGCACCAGCAGGACTGAAGATCAACAGGTCGTAGGTTCAAATCTGGGGAGAGTGCGGATGAGTTCCCTCTACCAGTTCCAGCTCCTCATGCGGGGACATGAGAGAAGCCTCCCACAAGGATGATAAAACATCAAAACATTCGGGCGTCCCCTGGGCAACGTCCTTGCAGACGGCCAATTCTCTCACACCAGAAGCAACTTGCTGTTTCTCAAGTCACTCCTGACAAAAAAAATAAATCTTAAGGACGATGATTATGCCATTACCGCTCAAGTAGGGAGCTTTGAGATGGTTGAACAGAAGCTCATAGCACATGTACCCTTACCGCCTACTACAGGGAAAACCAGCTGATCCTAATCCATCTAAAACAGACATGTGCCTTTCACCTTAAGAACAGACAAGCATCCCGAGCTCTGACGATTATTACCTGGGAAGGAATCCCACTGGAGCACTGCAGCGCACCCAAATACCTGGGAGTCACTCTGGACTGTGCTCTGACCTACAAGAAGCACTGCCTGAATATCAAGCAAAAAATGGGCGCTAGAAACAAAGGCTGCACGTTTTCAATGACCAAGTGCTAGGTCATCTGCATATATGAGAGTCCAGGGACACATAGTCTGCCTAGTCCATGCAGAGTCTGAATAGTAATGTTGAGAGTGCTGATCCTTGATGCACGCCAACAGTGATGTTGAAGGGTGGTGAAATCTCTGCAGGGCAGCTGACCATACTTGTATCATTGTATAGTAGCTTTATCCATTGGTGTAACAGCTATGTGACTTCATAGGCCAATTTGATTTTTCATGTTTAATGAGCGCTGACTATATACCTTTGTGTAAACTTGCTTGCTCTTTTGTATATCTTTTTTTTCTTTTCTCTCTTTTTTCCCCTTTTTTGTTTTTCTGTTGTCTGCTTTGCTTCTTGTGTACACTAAACAATAAACATTAAAAAATAGCACCACAGTCTTTGAGCATTTTCCAAATTTCAGCTGGTATGTCATCTGGGCCAGTGGCCTTTCTATGCTTCTTTCTTTGTATGGCTGCATTTACTTCAGTGACTGTGATAGCTGGTACTGGCCGAAGACTGGAGCAGGGCTTATTATTGGTGGGAGGGGAAATTTTATATTACTGTAGGGAAAATAGTCAGATCATATTTGTAGGATAGTTTGAGTGTTACGCAATATTTCACCATTCCTTTACCATTACTCACAACCGCTTTCTACCTGAGAAACTTTTACATGACCCTAGACATATAACTGTAAAACTCAAATGTTTACTGATAATACATCAGTATTTTCAGGCTGATCTCTCTTTTTATGAACTACAGCTGAAGCATTTTCTGCAGAGTCCACTGTAAACACTGCATGTTGTTGCTAGCAGGCTCATGTAAATGGGTAGCATTCAGAAACTTTATTGTTGCCAAATGTTTTATGACACCAACACTGAGCAAAGACCCAAAGTTTATGAAGTAGATGACCTTTAAGAGACTGCCTAATTTTATGGTCCATTACAGTATTTTAGTTAAGATACTTTGTCCATTCCTCAGATGTTTAATTTCTTCAGAAAATGAGTGCAGATGGCAATCCAGATATACAACAAACATGTTAAAAAAAGTTTATTTTACATTATATACATTAGGAAATATTCAAAAGCATTACCAACAACATCGATACAGACCATAAATCACTTTTAATGTAGTTATTCTTAGTTTATATCACAGTATAAAGAACATATACAAAAAAAGCCAATATGTGCATTTCCCAGCTAAAACTTGGCATATACATATTACTGCATTGGAAAACAATCAAAAATCTTTTTGCTCAAAATTAAAAATTCCTGTGATGTGTAATAAATCATTTAAATTGTTTGTGTGAGGTAGTAACTAAATCATTTTGGCCGGGTGTTAAGACATTAAAAGGAAAATGTGAAAAACAGTAGTAAGGCCAAATATTTTTTAAAAGAAAAAAGGCCAAATTAAGACAATTAATTCATTGCTGCGTTAACCGACAACTCATTTTCATACGAAGAACAGTTGTTCTGTGGGTGTATTCCCATATGGCAGTAGGTTTTAAGCTTCTGGCCTTAAGAGAAATTAATGTGTTTCCTGAATAAACCCCTGCATATTGCATGGGATTTTTGGTATAGGGAACACACCATTCACACAGGTTATTGGGTTATGTATGTTTGGGTCTTAATCTCACCCCACAGGAATCAAGTGAGATCTCATGCTACACTCCCTGCTCCACAATAACTGCTTGAGACAAGGGAAAAAGTAGGGGAAAGAATGCTTTCTTTTAGGAACCCTTTCCACTATTGCTGAGAAGCTGACTGCTCTGTGAGGAACTCCAGAGTTTCCTGGAATATAGCTTGAAAACCACTATTCAATGAAGACCCCACTACTTAAAGAAAAATAAGAGCAGATGGATCATTCTGCCATCTGCATGTGAAAACCACTATGGAATCTCAGGGTGCATAGTTATCCTATGACGATTAACAGAGGAGCTATGCAGAACAAAATGGGTGAAACTACTGGTAACTAGCTAGGGATGCTACTCCTGTCCTGCCAAGTAGGACACCTACATCTTAAATGAGAGAAACATGCATATCTTTATCATAATTCGAGTGCGAATGAATATCCGTGAAGTACTGCAAAGAGTACTATTTATGTGCAGTGGCCTTTTTGGTGCAAATGCCTGGATCTAGCGCCAAAATAATGTAACCACTTCCACAATGTGGAATGTTTTTTAATTTTTGCATGATATGGGTGGCACTGAAGAACAAAAACGAATCAAAATAATCCTTATTTGAACATTGTATACATTATAATTATGCCAAGGTACCACTATTTGCGATCCCCCCCATTCAAAATATTTACTTTATTCCCCCAAGCGCAGAAAATAATTAGAGAATTTTCCTTAAATATAAAAATACAGGTGTTCGACTGGCTAGTTTCACAAAGAAAACTATCCAAATAAACTAAAACACCCAAATCATATCTACAAAGTCACAGCTTACTTTTGTGACTAAATACATCACATATTAATACTTTGTGCAACCAAACACCAGTGTACTTGCATCAAATTTAAAACAAGATTGTAACAGGATTAACAGCCTTGGTTACAATGTCTAAAAGGTAAGATTTATTTGTATTAGTAAATTACATAATAAAATACAATAGTGTTATCTGAATGCACTGTTTAGCGCTAGTATCCATTCTTTTTTTAAAAAAGTGTCCTTAAAATAGTACCCCAAAAAGCAATTCCTTGTCCTTAGCTATCTTTACACATCTGTACAAATAAGACATTCGACCACTATCTACATAAAATCAAGAGATGCCTCCATTTCAACGAAGAAATACTGCATATATGTACAAAGATTACATAATAGTGAACCAAGCACTTATGTGATATAAATGCGCTAAATGTGTCCATAACATTCAGGCAAACATTCTTGCACTCATTCGCTCACACGCCACAATAAATTACAAACTAACTGAAGTTGGGGTACTGCTGCTTTTGTGCAATTTCAGCCATCCATAAGTGTCGAAGCAGTAGTGTTCTCTTGTCGGAATTAAATTGCCATGCAGATTGCTTCTCAGTAACTGTTTTCGTGGCCTGCTAAGATGTACAAGTTGCTGTTGGCAGTAGGGTTATCTGTGGGCCGACTCTCCAGTACCACAACCCTGTGAGAGGGTGGATATAAGCAAAATATAAACATAATGGCCAATATAACAAGCTAACATTGTGTTTATGATAAAGAAAAAGAACCCTCAGGTTGTAGGGTAATTTGGTACCCTTTTAAATACTGTCTCTCCTTTTAAATACTGTTGGCTATGCTTCATCCAAATCATAACTTTTCATAAGAACTCCACTTTAAAAATGAAATTTGAATCTGTGAAGGACTGATAATTATATCGCTGTTAGTAGCCGGAAAAGCTATCTGAGCAATATTCTCCTTCATGTCCATTTACTGATACAAGTCAGACTTTTAAGCTTTTGCTTATACCAAAAACAAATTTAGGAGTAAATTGGATGTTGCCTGGATTTACATATTCAGCTTTGGACATAAAGCCCATTTTCAAAACTATTTTCAATACAAAAATGAAACCATTTCATTCCGCACTTTAGGGATGAGTCCAATATTTTCCTGTATAAAAATATGTAAATGTTTGTGGTTGTATCTAAATTTTTCTTTCCAAAATAAAGGTTTATGATTATATTTTCTTGTACCAAAATGTTGTTTCCAAACCTACTATGTACATAATACAAAACACCCAGGCATGAAGAGTATATCAAAGTTTATCAAACTCTGCTCCTCCAGATTTTGGAGGTGTTTTGGATTTCAGCTCCCACAATTCCAAACAGCTGGTAAGCTGGCTGGGATTTCTGGGAGCTGAAGACCAAAACACCTGGAGGAGCACAGTTTGAGAAATACTGGATTAGATGAAAGAAGGAAAACCTTTTTGGGTTCTCAATATTTAGTGACAAAGTTAGGGTTCCATGGGGGGGGGGGGAGTCTTCTGGAGGGTTCCATGACCGAAAAAGTTTGGGAACTGTTCCTTCCTTTCTGAAGAACAGTTCCACTCAAGGTCCCATACACAATGACTGAGGGTGACCTTACCTGTCAGATCCAAGGAGTCTGAAAATTCTTGTATTGTCTGAAATTTCCTGTGTGATCTGTATGACGAGTCAAATAAAAATTGAATTTGAATATTTTGAGATATTTCTATCCCGCTCTATGATATAGAAACAAATGCTCTGTGAATTAATCTTTAGATTATCTTTACATTATCTTCCCCTCCCTTCAGACCAAGCTTAAGAATAATCTACTTTTGCAGATGTTAGACTGCAACTTCCAGCAGTCAATGGTGAGGAATACTGGACGTTGAGTCCGACGACCCATTATTGCTCTAGATCTATATGTGGAGCTTGTTTCCAATACAGGCAGCCCCCAAGTTACAAACATCTGACTTACAAATGACTCATAGTTAAGAATGAGGGTCAGACAACACAAAGTGAGAGAAATCTACCCTTTGGAAGAGAAATTCACCCCCTGAAAGAGTTATCATGGGGAGAACGTGTATAAGACTGAAGCTTTCTCGCCAATCCTTGTTTCCAATTTTTTCAAAATCTAACTATCACAGGGACAGAAAGTGAGGTGAACAAAAAACCCTACAAGGATATTAACCCTTCCGATGGTAGCCAAAGCTAATATAAACATATATTTGGGTGGAGTCACACTTAAAAAATGTACCTGTTCTGACTACAACTTAACAACAAACCTATGGAACCTATCTTGTTTGTAACCTGGGGATGGCCAGTATGTTGCAAATCTATCTGAACAAATTTCACAGGATTAAAAAAGTGTGCAAGAAAATTTACTCTCTTGCTAAAAAACAGTTTTTATCTGCACATAATAATCTACTCCTAGCCAACAATGTGCTGCCACCAATGTCATTTTTTTTCAAGGATTGACAACTTTATCACACTAGAGAAAAAAATCTATTTTAAAATCCAGTTTCTGCCTTCTGCAGAATTCTGGGGTTTGCAGTTTAGTGAGGCTGTTAAAGGCTCCTCCCTAAACTACAAACCCCTGGAATTCTGCAGGAGGCAGAAACCGGATTTTAAGTGGATTTTTTCTCTAGTGTAATGAGACAATGAGTCTCTTTTGAAAACAAACCCCACCTATATTTCCAAGAAAGCTCTCTCTGCAAGTGCAACAAGCTGAACACATTTTAATTATCCTTTAGCAGTTTTTATAGCACACGTATGTTGCTTGTCTCCCTAAGCATCACTGCATTTTTAGATGTGAATTCAAAGATTTAAGTCCAATCATTAATAACAACTAGAGTGATGCCCATTAAATCAATGGTCCTTCCAGAGGTTTGATGGCTAAGGAGATAGTTTTGTATAGTGGTGAGAGCTCAGACTAAGACTCTCAAGACAGGTTCAAATCCCCACCCAGCCATGTTAGTCTACTTGAAGACACACACCTAATACCTCCAAAGTTCTTGGGTTCTTTCACAATATGTATTTACAGCACTACATTACACTTTAATGCCATAATCTTGTGAAGTCTTGGGATATCCAGCTTAGAATTCCCAGCCAGAGAGCTCTTGTGCCTCACCAAACTACAAACCCAAGGATTCCACAGGATGTTGCCATAGCAGAACTGCAAAGTAGTAGTAAAATTTTGTGGTGTTAAACCGTCCTTTTTTCTGTTGTTGAAGACTTTCATGGCTGAAATCACTGGGTTGTTGTGAGTTTTCTGGGCTGTATGACCATGTTCCAGAAGCATTCTCTCCTGATGTTTTGCCCACATCTATGGCAGGCATCCTCAGAGGTTGTGAGGTCTGCTGGAAACTAGGCAAGTGATGTTTATATATTTGTGGAATGTCCATGGTGGGAGAAATAACTCTGAGGCCAATGTGAATGTTGCAATTGGCCATCTTGATTAGCATTGATTGGCCTTGCAGCTTCAAAGTCTGGCTAATTCCTGCCTGGGGGAATCCTTTGTTGGGAGGTGTTAGCTGACCAGGATTGTTATAAAATCAGGACAGTAAATAAAGAGGAACACACACAACAGGGGAATTCCTGACATGAAACAATCATAGATGTGCGCAAAACATCAGGGAGAATGCTTCTGGAATACGGCCATACAGCCCAGAAAACTCACGGCAACCCAGTCCCTTTTTGATTCAATGAGAAAGATGGGATTAGCAACTGGAATTAGGTCTAAAACTGAAAGACTGTGTAAGATTACTCTGTGACTTCACTGATGAGGTGAAAATTCATGTGGAGTATTTCTAGTTTCACTATTTTAAAACCGATTTTGTATCCTGCAAAATCTTCTCAAGGATGAAATATTATGGATATTAAGAAAAACAATTTTATATTGGAGCTTATTTTTTAAGACAAGTCAAGTTTTATTCCACCATGGAAGATTTACCTCGTTTGACCGAAAACTTCTGCCCTGCATTCCATGCTTCCAGAAAGCCAAAACACTGTCTTGTAAACAAACTGGCAAAAGAGATAACATTGATTAACCCTAATACCGCCATTAGACACCCACACACCTACTGGTACATACACTGTATTTATTTGACACACATCTGAATACACACTCAAGAGGTCACAATCTGTAGCCATGGCTAACCCCATCTGAAAAAAAAATGGTCTCATTTAAATAATTTGAGTTTGTAAGTAATAGGGCACTGGGGTTCTGACTGAAAAGTGAAGTGAAAAGAGAAGCATCTACTTCTTGTGATTAATAGATGTCCTCAACAAGGAGAAAATTTATGTTTAAAATACTAACAAGTTAATATAGCAATTGAGATACACAATTAAATAATTTATTTTATAAACCCAGAGATTTTAAATTTGAAGAAAATGCACATAAAACTTAATTACAAAAGGCATCATTTCTGTATACTGTGTTACTGTACACATTATCCTTTATTTGAAAAGTGATGTACATTTAACTTATTTTTGGAATAACGGATTTATGATTTGTCCGAGCTAGCTTTGTTGTCAGAAATACATAAAATGAATGGCCTACTATGAAAGACCTTAGAGGACTAGCTAGATGCTTCTAAACTGATTCAATCTGGAAAGTGTGGCAGTCAATTTTACTTACCTATTGATTCAATCTGGAAATCAAATGTGAGTTCTGAAGACAGTTTTCGACTAGATTTCAATCTACCTTGCAAATTTACTATCTTTATACAGCCTGAAAAACAAACACCATATATGTTTTATAGTGATCTTTCTTATAGCATGCCCCTTATTTGAAAATGTATATCCAGGTCCCACAGGGCACTTACAATCCAGGCAGACTAAAATGGTATCTCTCTCCAACTGTGTTACGTGCACAACATTTGTCTGTGTAGTATCTACAATAAAAGAACAAAATCAATTGGCATTCATGTATATATCTTAATTCTATGTAGATGCTGTAATTCAAGTATTAATTTGAATATGAATTCTATTTCCTTAAGAATCTTATTGGACCTTATTCTTTATCAGAAACTATTTTATTATTTATGTATTTAAAGCATTTATATTCCACCCTTCTCACCCCGAAAGGGGACTCAGGGCAAAATATAAATGCTATGCATATATGATGCTGGTACAGCCTTTGGTACTATCAGCATGAACACCACACATTTTTACATTTGAACAGAAAATGGAAGATTTTTGTTTATTTGTTTCCAATACAGGGTCAAGGTTCAGGTCTAGGCTATTTGGCTAGCCACATCCCCTTGTATGAACCTGGCCCTAAGATCTTCAGGAGAGACCCTTCTCTCAGTCCCACCTCCATCTCAAGCTCGGTTGGTGGGAACAAGAGAGCGGACCTTCCTTCTCAGTGGTGCCCCTCGACTTTAAAACTCCCTTCTTCCCAGGGAAGCCAGAATGCCCCCCTTCTGCTGTCCTTCTGGCGACAGGCTAAAACTTTTTTATTCAGGTAGGCTTTTAAAGATTAAAGTGTTTAAGATCAATTCAGGAGGTGCAATGGTTTTTAACTCTGAATTTGTTTTAATGGTTTTTAACTGGGCATTTTTAATGCTGTTTATATTTAATCTTGTTTTAATGTTCGTATAATTGTATATTTTAAATGGTTATGCTGATGCTTTTATGTTAAGCCGCTTTGAGTCCCCTTCGGGGAGATAAAGCGGGGGTATAAATAAATATAGTAGTAGTAGTAGTAGTAATAATAATAATAATAATAATTCAGACAAGGACTTCAATAAGAGGGATTTAATATATGTAGTATTGTTATATTCTTATTACCAGTTTATCAGAGGATACGTAGCCCCTGGTGGCGCAGTGGGTTAAACCCCTGTGCCGGAAGGACTGAAGACTGACAGGTCCCAGGTTCGAATCTGGGGAGAGGTGGATGAGCTCCCTCTATCAGCTCCAGCTCCTCATGCGAGGACATGAGAGAAGCCTCTCACAAGGATGATAAAACATCAAATCATCCGGATGTCCCCTGGGCAACATCTTTGCAGATGGCCAATTTTCTCACACCAGAAGCGACTTGCAGTTTCTCAAGTCGCTCCTGACACGACAAAAAAAATAATCAAAAGTTATTATTATTAGTATTACCATCATCATCTGTGTATCAGAATACCATTGCATTTTTTGTTCCAGTCTAAGATGTGCTGGGGCATATCAATACTATTACGTTTTTAGCCCTATTTCTTATTTTTGCTCCATATCAATTCTATTCTGATTGGAATCCTCACTCCTATTTCTCAAGACTGAGGAACTGAGTGTCCCTGTCAAGTGTAAGCAATCAATCCTCCAGCCACATGCGTACCCAAGTTGTGATGGTCGTAGAAATCAGGCAAAATTCAAATTAGCTGACAAGTCGCAAGTACACTCAATCCCTCAGTTTTAAACAAGAAAGGAGTGGGGAATAACAGTTTCAGGGCAATCCCAAATAGGACATATATCTCAATTTTAGAATAACTGTATCAACACATTTAGCAGCATATCAGGTCAGTTATCTGTGTATTACTCCATTACGAATAGCACAACTTGAATGTAACATGGTTGCCTTTCCTTCACACACTGCGGGCCACTGAAAGCACTATGATTTGAGTTTTAACCTTTTTTTTATTTAACCTTATTTTATTGTGGCCACACAGCTAATTGGTTATCCAATCAAAATCATTATCTTTATCTATATATCAACTACATGACAAGGTCTTTTCGTTGCCTGTCACCTAGTGTCCTACTAGTTTCTACTTTTTAAATTTTTATTTACTGTACATTCCACTGAATATCTTGCAGTATACACAGCCTAAAATTGAAACCATTTTTGAAATAATGTATTAAAGAAAGAAGGCTCACACTATTATTGATTTAATTGCCCGAATTAGTTCTTACGATTTATCTTATACTCTATAGACAGTAATCCATTACAGTCTATCCTTTTGAAGTATATGACTGGGCTGCAAAGTTGGCAACCAAATAATCTGGCCTGTAACTATAAAATTAATTTCTCACAACCAGGCCTGGAATTATTTGGTGAGCAGCTCATTACATTAGGCAGGCAAAATATGGGTTGGTTTGTATTCGAGTACTTTTTCAGTAAATGGAATTTACTAAGAAATCATTGTATCTGTAATTATGTGTGTTGATCATGCTCTAAGACAACTAACTGTATAAGGAAAAGTGACCAAAGGAATTCACAAACCTGTTTCAGTGAACCATGAAGAGGTAGAATTTGGGTTGACAGTCTCAAACTTCACCACCTGATTGAAGTCTCTTCCTTTACTCACACCAACACAAACTAAAGGGAATTCCTGTTCCGGTACTACCAGCATTTCAAATAATCTCAGTGGACAAGGTACAGGAAAATCTATATGCTAAATTAAGAAAAATATTATTAATTAATGTTTGTAAAATACTGTTAAACATTATGAGCTAAATCCAATTATTAGTTACAACTAGAGCATGAAAGAATGGGACTAGTTAAATTAGTACGTATGTCTCAATTGATTCAATGTATAAACTTTAGTTAAGACTAACAATTAGGTTTAATGTGTTGTCAGAGGTTTTCATGTCTGGAATCACTGGGTTGGTCTGAGTTTTTCGGGCTGTATGGTGATGTTCCAGAAGTATTTTCTCCTGATGTTTCACTCACATCTATGCAGGCATCCTCCGAGGTTGTGAGGTATATTGGAAACTAAGCAAGGGATGTTTATATATCTGTGGAATGTCCAGGGTGGGAGAAAGAACTCTTGTCTGTGGGAGGGAAGTGTGAATATTGCTATTAATCACCTTAATTTGCAATGCTAATCAAAGTGATTAATTGCAACATTCACACTTGCCTCAAACAGACGAGAGTTCTTTCTCCCACCCTGGACATTCCACAGATATATAAACCTTACTTGCCTAATTTCCAACAGGTCTCACAACCTCTCAGGATGTCTGCCATAGATGTGGGTGAAATGTCAGGAAAGAATGCTTCTGGAACATTGACATACAACCCGGAAAACTCACAACAACCCAATTATATTTATTGCTATTATTTCAACAATGTCACAATATGATCTAACAGATTTCTCCTTTCATTGTAACTTCAGGCCTCTTTCGTGAAAGAGGAAATAGGTAAACTTTGGAAAGCGGTGTGCATGCAGATTTTGCCACTAGTATAAAAACAACATCTAAAAACACTCTACACCAGAAAACTTCAATCAGTTGTGATAAGTCATTGGGTGACATGTCTCTAAACTGTCAAAATGAGGTTGATTTACTAACTGCTGAACCTGAAAAAAAAATCCATGATCTCTGAATAATTCTAGTTGTTTGAACTTGCAAGAGTCATTAGGAGAGGTGATACTTAATCCACCACTTCCAAAGCACTACCAATTGGTGGCTGCCAGGGAAAAAGGTAGGAGGGCTCAATTCATTTTTAACACAGTCATTTTCTCTAATGAAGGGGAACTCACTATGCAAATTTGGTATAATTTATCTCTATTGGTGAAAGGTTGTCAGGGGACCAGAGGGGCCTTGAATCCAAAGCCTTCCCACGAGAAAGAATCCTTTCATCTCGTGCTGCTAGGATACCAGGAACACAAGGTGTGCTTCCAGTGAACCCTGACTTCTACATGCCAGAAACAAACTGATGTAATTGTACAATCTTAATCAAATAACCTCCTGCCCCAATTCAAAAAATCAACATGCAGTAGTCCTTCAACCTCCTATCAATGGGCTAGACTTTTTTTCAATTTTCTTACGATGAAATTATTTCGACAGCTTTTTTTGAATGAGAACATACTCCAAAAATTGGTTTTTAATAAGATGTACCTAACTCATTGGTTCCAGCAGGCATTATGAAGGACAGGCTATTTTGAAGGACCGGGGGTGGGGGAGAATGGGGGAGAAAAGTAATATAGCTGAAAAATGTATAGAAATTACAGAACAACAGAAATATGGAAATAATTCAGAATGACAGCTACTGAAATCTGAAAAAGAATTTTGATTACTTCAATAATTTTTAGGCTAGAGAAAGTTATGCTAGGAAGCTCACCTTGATTAACATGAATTTCTGCATTGGTTCAACCCACTCTAACAGAACAATGCTGGACTGTAGTGCTCCACACAGATATTTGTGTCCTGTGTAAGGATTCCTCACTATAAAAGAGAAGTGTTTGAAATACATTGAAATAAACACATGTAATGCATGTGAGTGGCCTGGTCCAAAAGAATGCTGTGCTGCATTCATATGACTCTCTCTTGATAATAGAGGAATAATGAAACCTGTTTTTTTAAAGATTTTATTTGTCATGATTACTTATGAAGAATGGATTATTTTGTAAGTTATTTTTTCCCTTTTTCAAAGTCACCATTTGGATATTACAGAGTGTGTTGCAGTGACTTGAGAAGGAAACCAGGATTTGAATTTCTGTTCAGCCATGGAAACCCTTTGGGTGACCTTGGGCAAGTCACACTCTCTCAATTTCAGAGGAATGCAAAGACCCCTCTGAACAAATTTTGCCAAGAGAACCATGTGAACGGTTTGTTTCTAGATCAGGCTTAAGCAGCTGAGGGGTAAAAGGAAGGAGTCTGAGGCTGTTAGCAATGGTGGGACTTGAAAGTCCAAAGTACTTATAGCAGGCCTATGCCTGCTCTAGATCACTGTAAGTCAGAAACAACTTGAAGGCACGCAATAAAAATATTAGAAGATATTGAATCTAAGAAAAAATTAAGAAGGATTTATCCTCTTGACTCTCCCTTTCTATTTTACATATGTTAAGACTGCTATTCCTACTCAGTATGATCCCCTATAAGGTTATTTGAGAAAAAATATAAAAATTGGGTCTCCAGAATTATCCTGTGTAAAATTCCAACCCCACCATTTCGTTACCAAAGACATATGATAACAAATGACAGAGGATTAGAAGGATGAGTGCATATTTGGATGATATTTTACTTACCCACGCAACACTTCTGGCACCATTTAGTGTCTGGAATTTTTGTAGAAACAGCAAACTTCCTACAATAAAAAACACACCAAAAATAAATTGAGCTCATAATTTTGCTTTTCAAAATGATGCATCTTCAAATTTAATCAAGTGGCTTTCTGCTCCAAATCCAGGAAGGTGCAACTAGTTAATGAGATATGGGTCGAAGTTAGCCCATGGCATATAGGTTGTGTGTGTGTAGATTGAACATGTCTTCCAAAAATATAGCATCAAAATGGCAAACCAATGCAACATACCCACCCCAATCTGAGTAATACAGTGAAAGCAGAAAATTCCATATCTCCACCTTGTTATAATTTCCCCTCCTTTCTGTAATATCTAGCAGCTTTCATAGTTAAATATGGAGGAGGAAAAGCCCAACTCCTCTATTCCCACTTTATCAATCTGTATAAGCATTTACATCTTTCCTGTTTTCTTCATAGTATCTTAAAAAATCTTTCCATCTAACTATGATCTTAAAAATAGTCTTTCAAATACATATATGGCTGCACACACCAGAAGCGACTTGTAGTTTCTCAAGTCGCTCCTGACACAACAACAACAACAACAACAACAACAACAACAACAACAAAACAACACATACAGATATCCACATTAAAAATGGACTCTAAACATAATTGCTGGATTCCTAACCAAAATTCAACTAAAGTCTAAAAAAATGAATATTATTTACCTCGGAAGTATTCTGTCAGGAAGCTTGTGTGCTGGTATAGCAACTGGTAACTTCTGCATTTGTCGAGCGTAATCAAACAATCCTGGCAAATTATGGGAATAAAGTTGAGAAGCTTTACCTGTAAATAAATGTAGAAATTAAAACTGAACCACAGAGCACAGGCATTTGCATGCCAAATGATTTAAAAAAAAAAGTTTCCAAGTCTCACCAGATATTGATAGTAAGCAGTTGTTCATTACGTACAGCCATGTACATCGTCGGGGAAAGAGCTGATAAAAGATTAAAAGAATCCAAATCTTGAGACTATTTTTTTGAAGGAGATAACATACTGAATGAACAGCTTACTAAATCCATAATCTACTCTTCAATACAAGATTCCTAGAGTAGTGTTAAAAATAAACATAACTAAATTGGAGAGATAGTTGGAACTATTATTTAGGTCAAAGGTGGGTAGGTGCTACTTGCAAGGTGTGTGGGATCCAAAAGCCCTCCACAGTTGCAAGATACCTTAATTTTTTAAAAAGAAGTATGTTTTTTTTAAAAAAATCCAATCTCCCAAATGGCCAAAAACTGCAATGAAACAAAGAGATTTTTCTCTCCTTGTCTCCAAATCCCTTGAAAACCCCACCAAAACTCAGGATTGATGCCAGATCAAAATGTTTTACGTTGTGTCTGTGATTGTTGTTCAGTTTTATAGTTTTAATGGTTTAATCTATTATCATATGCTGTTGATTTGATATGTGATGTTTTTATACATGTGAGGCATTGAATTTTGCCATTGACTATGTTGTGAACAGCTTTGAGTCCCCTCAGGGGTGAGAAAAGCTGTATATAAATGCAATAAATAAATAAATAATCAAACAAAACCATGAAATCAGCCTGAAATCTGCTGAAATTAAATACAAAAGTGACATTGATCACTTCTTGTTTCTATTTCGAGTTCTTTTTACATTTGTGTATTTTTTTTTCATGGTCTGGCGGTGCCTAGGTGAGCAAAACAGCATTCCCAATGGGTTTTGACCCACTGGAGAGCCGGGTGAAAAACTACCCAGAAATGTAAAATAATTCTTAGGGGTGTGGGGGTTTTAGTATGTGAGTAAAACTCACTGATGAAAACTCACCCCTGCTCCATGGAGCAGGAGCCCCCGGTGGCACAGTGGGTTAAAGCCCTGTGCCGGCAGGACTGAAGATCGACAGGTCGCAGGTTCGAATCCGGGGAGAGGCGGATGAGCTCCCTCTATTAGCTCCAGCTCCTCATGCGGGGACATGAGAGAAGCCTCCCACAAGGATGATAAAACATCAAAAATCATCCAGGTGTCCCCTGGGCAACGTCCTTGCAGACAGCCAATTCTCTCACAACAGGAGCGGTTGCTCCTGACATGACAAAAACAAAAAAACAAAAACAAAAAAAACAAACCCCTGCTCCATGTGGTTGCCAACTCGTTCTAACTTACACTCAATCTTGAGCTCCTAGGATCCATTCACCCAAGTTTATATTTCCTCTATATGTCAATATGAATATATGAGTGTATTATTTACATATCTGGGAGAGTTTTTAATCATCGGGGTTCAAAGTGTAAACTTTTTTCAGTACCTTCTCAAAAACAGGTGAAATCTGAATTTAGATATTTTCAACTTCAAGAGGGAAGGGCTAAGATAGACTTAAGTAAAGCCATTACTTAAAAAGAAAAACAAAATATAATGAACGACACCAAGGGCATACATCGAAATAGGATAGACAGAACATGAACACAAACCTGTTCCATTGATGTTTCATGGAGCTCATTAAGGTTCAAGGTATAAATGCCTTCCTCAGCACCAAATATTAAGTACTGGTCTACAAAGAAATGAACATACTCATTTATTAAAATGACTTTATCAGGTGAAAGCATCAGATATAAGGTTGCTATTGTTGCAATTTTTATCATCATTGTCACCCTGCCTTTTTCCCAGTTCAGGACTACTATTAGGAAAATGTCAGAAATAGACATGAGATTATTACCTCGTGTGTCAGGATTAATCCATGAGGTTGCACAATGAATTTTTAAGGGGCATCCATTGAAAACCTTTGAAAAGCAGGCACCCATCTGTGAAAAACAAAACCATATATTATTTGTAACATTTGTTTAGAGGATTCATCTTACCTACAGCTGCACTTCAATTCATGTGAAATTATGAAAAACAAACACAAACTGCTAAACATATAAATTATTTCAATATTGCAAAAAATTATCATTGTCTTAGCCACATTCAATTGATTGTATTGCTTTTCTGCTTCTTCCCCCACTTTTTACTGGCTGTCCTTTTCTCATTTGCCTATACAACTGTACAATCTATATGTGGGAACCAACTTTTTTGGTTCAAAGCACTCTCTCCTTCAGAACACCAGGTGCAATTGTGATATTCTGGACTGATACTGAAAGAAGTTGTATTTAATAAAGATAATTACTGTAAGGTACTGCTGTATGTCTAATTTATATAATAAAGTAAGTGATCTGTCAGTGGAAGGTGACAGCTGGGAGTGTCTGTCGACTGGCTGAATGTTTGAGGGGATTTTAAAAGGCTGGTGTTTATTATATGGAGCCATGGTGGTGCAATGGGTTAAACCCTTGTGCTGCTGAACTGCAAGAGACGCTCCAAGCAATCTCGCTAGCCACGCAACCAGGAGGTGAAAAGGCAGGCTCCTCGGCTTGAAAATGGAGAAAAGTACATCCCCAAAGCCAGAGATGAGCACCACCTCAGAAGCCAGAGAAGCCTCTGCCTTTGTTTATGTTTGTGTGTCTCACTGTAAATGATTGTAAAGGCATGTAAATGCTGCAATCTGCTCTGAGTCCTCTAAGGGAGAAGGGCAGAATATAAATAATGTGAGTAATAATAATAATAATAATAATAATAATAATAATAATTATTATTATTATTATTCAGACAGTGAGAGACGTGTGTGTCTGAGGAATAGGAGAGAAAGGCAGAGATTATATGAGAGTTAAAAAGGACCAGAGATAGAGATTCTGAGTTAGACTCAGTCAGTTAGCAATATGAGTGAGTGCTTTGAGCTAAGTAGTTAGGCTCATTTTTATATGCCAATTGCCTATGGTTAACCAGAAGTCCTTTTCTGAGATCTGATCTATTTCTTTCTACAATCCAGTACAGAATCTTTCAATTTCTTTTCTTTTGCCTCTTTAGTAGGATCATAAACTTGAGTTAAGGGTACATTGATGGGTTTTCCCTGAGGTTTTATTGATATGATATGATACCGTACGGTCAGACTTTGCTTTATACGCTTTAACTGCTTTTACTACATCTCTTCTCACCAGAAATGTCACCCAATTTCTTCATACATTTTCATTTTCCGAGTAAAATACTAATTATCTGACTCTTTAGTTTGTTCATCCCAAATATTGCAATGTTTGTTCAATTTCTTATATCTATTGTAATCATATACAGAACACAATTTCTCTGTATCATTTTATTTTGCTCCTAACAGCATCCAATTTAGGATTCTGAATTCTTCAAGACTTTCACATGAGGGATTATCATGAAAGGTATGTTGAAGAAAATACTATGTTTTCAGAGTAAAAGCCTATCTCAAAATCACGAAGCTTTACATCTAATATTATAAGCTATGCAGAAGAAAATAGGCCAAGTTTTCCCTAAAGAAATGAAAGCCAAAACTCCATTTGACAGTTGTTGCATTCTCCAGACTGCTTTACAACATTACTGCTCATCAAAGTATGCAAAACCATCTGGGATCTTCAAACTAGAGACTTGGTTTTGTTTTAAAAAGGGATTCTATCATTAAAAATATACTATAGTGTATTTAATTAAGAAATTATCAAATTGTATTACATTATTTTTCATATAAGCCAGTTTAATTTTGTCATAACTATATAGCATTAGAATAAACACGACAGGTTAATGTTTCTGAATTCTTGTTTTTTGAAAAATAACAGCATATACCTGTTATTTATAACTGTTATTTATAAATGTTTATAATAATAAAACTTGTTTTGAAGTTCAAGAAACATAAAGATTATAATCACAGCTGCCAAATGAATTAAAATATTTTTTTAAAAACCACTGCAGTTCTAGGACAGATACTTCAAGAATTGCAGGCCAAGACTGGTAAATTAATATTATGATTTTAGATAAATGAGGGTGCATCAAACATTAAATGCACCCTCATTTAAACACTAAATGCTAAAACACTCTCATCTCTTGAGATGATCATATTATTGGCACTTACAGGTCTTGGTATATAACAAGGATGTGCAAAGCATAGCCCATGAGTCACATGTGACCACCTGGGTTGTTTTTATGCCTCCCAGTGGATCAATTTATTTTCACAAACAGAAAACAAATATACCAAAATAACCTGGTGTGGAGCATTTCCATGGAGCTTGCCTGGAGCTTGCTTGGGATCAAAATAAACATTTGAAAAAAAAATCAAAATCATCCAAAATGTTCTCTAAATGCCCAGCAAGATGCAAAAGTACGATGAAAATGCCATGTCCCCTGTAGGGTATTTGGGGACAAATAAACTTTTTCTTTCGCAGGTACAGTGAGAATGTAGCCCTTCAAGGCCTTCTGTGGGACTAATGCAGGCACCCAGCCACCCACAGTTGTCAACTGTGGCCTACAGAATACTAAAGCAAATAGTTGAGAATATGGAAGATCCAAGAAGTATCAGAATTTTTTATACGATTTGTGGACAAGGTATTAATGCCATCCTAGTTTATATAGAGCAGCTGAAACAAAGATGGCCCACTTATGTCCCCCCATAAGTTGCTGAATTGAATCTTCCAGAAATCTTTACCACTGGCTATGTAGCTTAGTTGTGCAACAACATTGGGGGTGGCTGGCTGTTGTTTTTTGCCTAGATTTGTTGTGAGTTAGAAACAGGCCAATGCTGTATTAATTTTGACTGCCTTCATATTCTTAAACCAAACATCAATATTTACCCTTAAACAACAACACTCTCAGACCACATTTTAGTTAACATGAATAGATCATCTTCTAGACTTAATACTTACATGTACTTTTGGTGTAGGAGGAAGACCATTACTAATAGGCTTCTAGGGAAGAAAAAAGTTGAAATGTGACTTTGTGAAATTATTTCTGTGCAACAATTAAAACTACAGAAAAGAATATAGTGCAAACATGTAGGGATAGAAAGCATACTGGAAGACCTGGAAAAAAAAGGGGGGGGGGGGCTCAAGAGAGGGGCTTCCCAAGTGTTCAGAAGTTTCCAATAAGGAGACTCTTTCCCAAGCACATTTCTAATTTTTTCCAGTCTTCAAAATACTTTGTTCCCACATCACAGACCCCATTGCATTCCTGCATTTCCTACTGAAGATTCATGAAGTGGCTGACAAGTGAATGGGACAGTTAAGTGAAGACGATTGCTTTCAGTGCAGCCCATGTACCACAAAGACGTTAACCTATATGACCTCTGTAGGTTACTGAAGAAGCCCCAGATGACAGCTTGCATAGACATGCATTAGCTACAACAGGAAATCCTCCTTGCCTGGCTATCCTTGTTTCCTCCTGAAAAAAGGCTAGCTTGAAGGTATAGTAGTAATAATAATAATAATAATTATACTCTGGGACTTCTGAATTCAGACTGACAGAGTTTTGGAGCACAATACTCCTGATCTCACGACTGTTTTAAAAAAACCAAGTATGGATCGTCGATGTTGCAATCCCAGGCGACAGAAGGATTTAAGAGAAATAACTGGAAAAGCTGACACGATACGAGGATTTAAAGATTGAACTGCAAAGACTCTGGCACAAGACAGTAAAGGTGGTCCCAGTGGTGATTGGCACACTGGGTGCTGTGGCCTGCACTTAAACACAATCGGCGCTGACAAAATTACCATGTCAGCTACAAAATGCCATCCTACTGGGATCTGCACGCATTATTTGCCATACATCACACCGTTCTAGACACTTGGAAAGTGTCCGATGTGTGATCCAATACAACAGCTAGCAGAGTGACCTTGTCTGAGGTGTACTAATCTTTTTGTGTTTCAAATAATAATAGTAATTATTATTTATTTGGAATCCACCCTATCTCCCCGAAGGACACAGGGCGGTTTTCCAACACATATGACGAACATTCAATATATATTCAATATAAACAAACTACATCAAAACAAAATACATGAAACAATATACAAACAACCTGGCTGACAACTTACCAAATAAATTAACCAAAAATATAACTTAAACCTATCACCATGTAGATTGAATAGAATACTCGTATAAGTGATTTAAATTGAGAATAAAATCAAAAAGTCCACCGGAAAAAGAAATTCAAATCATGTTAAAAATCTGTTTGATTTAAATCAAACCAAACCTGGAAGACTCAAACCGGGATGCACCCAATGACAATACAGCAAAAGCACAAGCAAGCACATTAGGAAAATGTAGAGCAATGGTTCTCAACCTTTGGGTCTCCAGGTGTTTTGGACTCCAGCTCCCATATTTCCTGCGAACTGGCCAAGAGGGCTGGGGAATTTGGGAGTTTTAGTTCCAAATTCCCAGTGGAGAACTACTAATGTAGAGAAACCAATTATGTGTTTCTCTATACACAATGTAAAAGGGCAATAAAAATGTAGCAGGAATGGACCTACCGGTACTTCCTTCTTTTCTTTCCTAGACGCATTAGTGTGTCTATTCTCATTTGGCTCTTGATGGGGAGATCCCTCTCTGTCACCATTTATTTGTACAGAATTCAATCCATTACCTTTACAAAAAATGTTAAAGGCAATTTAAAAAACATTAACAATCACCTTCCACATTTACCAATAAGATATCTTGAGATCATTAGAAGACACCCATTTAATGTCAAATTCTGGTAGTAAAAGCATAAAACATTATTCTTGGTAGCTGACCCTCAGTTCTACCACTCTTTTCAGTACACTCGATTAGACTCAACTAATTACAATTCATTTAATTTATAAATAGTTCTCAGAAATCTCCAAAATTCATTAAAAATTATGCATTACCTAAAGATTTCTGTGAAGGTAACCGAGGAGGTGGTGGTCTAGGTGGGACTTGAGTGTTGGATCTTGCAGGGCTTTCTGAAACAGGACATCTTTTTATGGTTCCTTGGTTATCATCCTCAGAAGAATTAACTTCTTGTGGCATGCAGATGGATTTAGGCTGAAAGATATCAATTATTATTCAAAGGTATCAAGGCATATATTTTAGCACCTGTACCATGATTCCTGCATCTGTAAATTTCCATACAAATTAATAAAAAATGGCACAGAGGAATGCAATTTTTTCCACTGGAAGTGAATGCAGTAAAACTTTCTGACTGATGACGAACAGCTCAGCAAATGCCTACACAACGGAAAAAACAGCAAAGCATAAATTAGATTATAGGTTCCCAAAGTCTAGATGTGTCAACTGCTTATTAGCCGAGTACTGTGAAAATAGGAACTTAATGTTCAAAACTGATAGCTAATGACTGCAATTCAGTAAAGTAGTTCTGCATTCTCAAACGAAAAAAAAAAAGTGCACTGAGGGAACTGCTTAGAAAAGGACTTTTAAAGAGAAGCACTGAAATGTAACACTAGTGTGGAGATGAAAAATTCAGAAGCATGCATTTTCAGTTTAAATGAACTGTATTCTGCTCTTTCATCCAAAATGAACAAGCTATTGCTAGTTGAAAACTCAGTTTAAGTTTAAAAAACAGAAAATGAGGAACTCACAGCCCAGTCCTGGCCAAACTACCAAGATCAATATGTCTGAACTAAGTTGCATACAGGTTGTGAGAGTGCTTCTTACCTTTGGCGGCAAAGGAGGTGGCACTTTTGCTTTCATAGTTGAACTGCAAGAAGGAATTAAATAGATTATCAATGATACATACATATTCAATAAATATAAAAACCGAGATATTTAAATTTGTTAATGTACTGCTCAAACTGGGGTGGGCAACATGAAAACTGTGGATCACTCAAACATGGCCCAGGGGTTCCTGATAAGAATTGTGAGCCTCCCAGGTATTGGGTTGTCGCGTGTTTTCCAGGCTGTATGGTGATGTTCCAGAAGCATTCTTTCTGACATTTCACCCATATCTATGGCAGGCACCCTCAGAGGTTGTGAGGTATATTGGAAACTAAGCAAGGGAGGTTTATATATCTGTGGAAGGTCTAGGGTGGGAGAGTGTTAAAAAACTGTAAAATCAGGACACTAAATAAAGAACAACACTCTGAAAACAGGGGAATTCCAGACATGAAACAATCAGGATCAGCTAACACTTCCCAACAAAGGATTCCTCCAGGCAGGAATCAGCCAGGTCATGAAGCTACAAGGCTTTGTAATGCTAATCAAGGTAATTAATTGCAACATTCACCCTTGCCTCCAACAGACAAGAATTCTTTCTCCCACTCTGTACCTTCAACAGATATAGAAAAACCTCCACTGTCTAGTTTCCAATATACCTCACAACCTCTGAGGATGTCTGCCATAGTAAAGGTAAAGGTTTTCCCCTGACATTAAGTCCAGTCATGTCTGACTCTGGGGTGTGGTGCTCATCTCCATTTCTAAGCCGAAGAGCTGGCGTTGTCCATAGACACCTCCAAGGTCATGTGGCTGGTATTACTGCATGGGGCGCCATTACCTTCCCACTGATCTACTCACATTTGCAATTTTTCAAACTGCTAGGTTGGCAGAAGCTAGGGCTGACAGCGGAAGCTCACGCCGTTCCCTGGAATCGAACCAACAAACTCAGTACTTTAACCCACTGTGTCACCAGGGTCTGCCATAGATGTGGGCAAAACGTCAGGAGAGAATGCTTCTGGAACATGACCATATAGCCCAGAAAACTCACAGCAACCCAGTGATTACAGCCATGAAAGCCTTCTGTATCCCAGGTATTGTTTTTAAAGTTTTAATATGTGTGCTTTCCATCCATTCACTTAACTTCTTACATGTATGTGGGAATAATTCTTATCATAAATGCAGGCATATCAGAGAAAGCAACAAAAAATATCAAAATTCAGAAACCAAATTCCTTATTTTTCATATAATTTTAAAATTCAAATATCAAGATGTTTTTCCAAGGTCAAATTTTGCACATTTGTAAGTGAGGCTTTCAGATAATACATCTCCTCTGAATAATTTATTACCATTAACAGATCAGACATCTCCCCTGCCTCAGCTCAAAATCCACTCTCATGTGCTAAGTATTAATATAATACAACACAGAAATGCATATATCCTTTTTATATTCCTGCACTAATAAGCAGGTTGCCCAACCCAGATTTAAACGTTTAAGATATATATTGAAATTTCCAATAAGTACTTTCCTGTCATATTTTTAAGACCCCAAAATTTGAAATCCAGCACCTATTGTAAAAAACTCATCAAAACATGATTACACAGCAATCATTTGGGAGGCAGGGCCATTATGTCAAGCAGTTGATTTAACAGAGAATGATTGTGGGAAAATGCAAAAGTGATCTCTAAGGTAGACAATAGATTATAGATTTTGAAAAATTAGGTAGTGTGGTTTAAAAGGCTGGAGTACCACTTAAAAAGAAATATATAGTTCCTACTAAAATCAATGGAATTTAAACGGTAAAATGTGCTGAAAATAGACAGGCTTTTCAAAAAGGCCACACACTTTGTCCAACTGTTGAAGTTTAGTTTTTCTCTAATCAGTTTGATATGGAAGCGTGATCACAGTCAATTAAAATTTGTAGTAAAACCATTTGCCAATATTCAGATAGATATATTTATTTTCAAATAGGCTCATTATTCTGGAAGAAAAGCCTGCTCAAAAGTCCAGCCTTGAAAAAATGAGGAACCAGCAAAAAATAACCTCTGCATTTAAAACACTTTATTTACCCAGAGTTTGGGTTTATGATATTGACTTGATTCCCTACGTACTGCCGTGGAATCACTCTTTGTTCCCGTGATAGTATTTTTCCAAACTCCAGAACTGTCCTGTTAAACAATAGCATGTTTATGTATGGTCTTTTCCAAACATAGATGATTACACAACTGAAGGCAACAAAGATGAATTAAGGCTGCATTCCAGTACACTTACCTGAGAATAAATCCAACTGAATTAAGTGTAGGAGTACTGGAATGCAGCTACAAGGCCATACACTTTGGCCAACCTAGAGTAAACTGTAAATATTTTGGCTACTGATCAAACAGAGGCAGAATTGCTATGTCAATTCAGAGTGGGTTTCACTCACTCTGAAAGTAGAAACACAACATCTGAGTCTTTAGAGCTGCTCCAATCCTTTAAATGAGACGTTATAATACCTGTGAGGCCTTTCACACTCAGTGTGTGAATTCTAAAAAGGAAACAATCTGAAACATGCTACCTCACAGAAGAAATGCAAGTTACAGACAATTATGTTAACTCTACAGATTTTGCTTGAGGTAGTACCACTGAAAGGAAACAGCTGCCAGCTTGAGCCATGTCAATGCCTCAGTTCCTAGAAGAAGATGGTAGAAAGCTTTTGTTCAAGCTCTAGGGAGGTCAATATATCAGATAGCTGTGGGAGCAGAGCAGTACCAAATATGGAACACTTTTGTGCAATGTACCTCTAAGGCAGAGGTTCTCAATCTGTGGGTACCTAGATGTTTTGACCTTCAACTCCAAGAAATCCTAATAGCTGGTAAACTGTCTGGGATTTCTGGGAGTTGTAGGCCAAAACACCTGGGGACCCACATGTTGAGCACCATTGCTCTAAGGTGTTTTGGTCTACAACTCCCAGAAATCCCAGGCAGTTTACCAGCTGTTAGGATTTCTGGGAGTTGAAGGCCAAAACATCTGGAGACCCACAGGTTGAGAACGACAGCTCTATGGCATGTGTTGCTCAAAACTGGATTCTGCTTTTTGTAGTGCCAGTCTGGGTAAACTTGACTAAGAAATTTGACACTTGGGAAGACAGTACACAGCCTCTTAGTCTGTACTGTACTTTAGCTAGGGTGAGACTTTACTTCTTCTACAACATAATAATATCTGGAGTTGATAATAACTGGAATTATTTCTGCTTGGCAGGATGACCTTATATGCCTCTTAAATCTAAATCAGGAATAGGAAAACTATGGCCTCTTAGATGTAACTGGACTGCAACTTCCACTGCTCCTCAATACTGTCTATGACTAATGGCAGCTGCAGTCCATCAACATCCAGAACACCATGAGCTGTCCACTCCTGGTTCAAATATTAGATTCACAGCAGAATATAATTTAAACAAAAGTGGTTAAGCATTATATTTACACTGAACTACATGCATACACACACACTCTCTCTCTCTCTCTCTCCAAATATATTAATAAATGAACTCACTGTTTGGAATCATCACTGTCCACCTCTTCCTCATCTTCAAGGTGTGCCACATGTCCCCTAAGGAATTAAAAGCTGTGATCAGACGGGAATGTAAACTGTCAACTTGTCTCTGGTTATATAAAGTCTGTTCTCTGCAATCCTGAAAAGGTTATGTTTTCAGAAAGTAAGCGACAGTTGTAGGACAAACAAGCAAAGGGTTTTTCTGTAAATGCTTGACAAGAGTATGGTCAAACAAGTAGCATTAGTCAGAAAGAGATACAAGGAACATTTATACTGAAGTAGAAGAAAAAGGATTTTGCAATCAAGAGAAAAGGAAAGTTAAGAATTACCGCTGATGCAGCTCTTCTTCAACTGATTTGAGAAGGCTCCTTTAAAAATAGAAGTAAAATTCAAGGACTGGACACATTTAGCAGAAGCACATAAAATTAGACATATTTGTATATGATTTGACAAATGTACACCATGAAATAAGCCACACCAACTATTTGTGGAAATAGATTAAACAAAGCAAGTAATTTTCAACTGGCTACACAGCACTATTTAACTGAAGTCAGCAATACAATCAGCGTCCTAATTATTGCAATTGGCCATCTTTTCAAAATACATTAGGACAGATGTAGCTTATTCTAAATAAAGCTACAAGTGAAACAGAATGGGGAAAAATCTATGTAAAATAATGCAAAACCACAAGAAAAAGGACTGGAGAAGATGAGAATGATCAAACCCTGACTAATATCTTCTTTTAGCATATTTATATTAATTTTAAACAATATACTTTAAATTAGTGTTGCTCAAACTGGTGGTCTTGAGTTTCCAGGAAAAATAACAGTTGTAGTTAATGAGCTTAAATATGGTAACAGTCACTGACATTGGACGGAGAGGAGAGATTGCTGGTCTGCCACCCGTTTAAATTTCTCATTGTAGCATGAAAGCACATTTTTAATAAATGATTTATGATGAATTGCAACGTCCTCATTGAGAGTTCCAAGATGCAACAGCAGGTATTTAATTAATATAATAAAAGGAAAAGTACAAGGGAGGGGAAAAAATGTGGCCACGCTTTTAAAACTAATTGGTTTTCTTTTGTGTGTGTGGTTTTGTGGATATAAAGTCACTTCTTCAGATGGAATAAATTAAATAAAGTGGGTCCTTAGTACATGCTGGTATTTGTTTCCAGGAAACTTGTGGATGTAGAATTCACGGTATTTTTATACTCACACAGCCTTAATACCATTCAAGCATGACATCCAAAGACATGGATTTATAGTGATAAAAGCACATGCAAAAATAAAAACCAAATGGTCTTAAAGGTGCTGCCACATTTCTTTTTTTCCTGTCCCTTCATCCCCCCTTTTTTCTTTTGCAAGAGACTAACATGGCTAGTTGTTTGAAAGCTAATTAATGCTACAACACTGAAGCCAACCCTCATGAGCACACAAATGCTTAGGCACATATTCAGAATACAGATACACATGATAAAGCAACCTGTCAGCACCAAAAATCCCCATGACATGTACATTAGCTAGATACCTGCCTCAAAACATCAGTGAAATAATAATTGGTCCGAACTTCAAATAGTTTCATTATATAGATGCTACATTCCTGGTTTAAGTCAATAGGTTCATTTAAAACCATACTCCTCCTCACAGAAGAAAACGACAAGTTACTAAACAATACTTACTTATTTGCACCCAATAAGTAGCTTCCTTGGGGACCTTGGCCATATTCTAGCTGCAAATCCTATTGAAAGAAAACAATCACATACAAAATAAAACACAGGTTGATGGATCTGTTTCATCCTACCCATTTCAAAGGTCCAACATCTAAACTTTTACTGCTATGGGTACATGGACTCAGACACTGCCCTGTGTATTACAGATTCTCACACATTATTTTAAGAAAGCACTAAGCTTCTAATATGAAATGTATGCACAGGAAAGGAAAGGATGCAGACAGGCAACAAGAGACAAAGTTAATGTTCTGTTTCAGACATTCCACTACATGAACACATACTGACCATTTGCTTGGATTGAAAGATCCCATACAATTTCCCTTCTGGCAACTCACCCCACAACATATCACATGCCATATTGTGCTATGAAATTCCCCAACTATCAGAAGCAGGTTTTAAGAGAGTTTGCAAGGCCACAGCTGTAAGAAAGGCAATACTGCAGCATTCCATAATCTGAACCGTCATGGAAATCGAAGTTAAAAACTATTTAGAGATCTGAAGAAATGTCTTTATACTGGCAACGTTTCCAATTTCAATCATTACAAAAATATCCAAAATCTGATTGATGATAGGTGGTGGAGAGAAAAGAGTAACCTTCTGGCGAAAGGAAATGATGGCTACATTATACAACCTTAAAGTGCCTAAAAGATTATAATTACACAATCTACAGATCATGCTTCATTCATTGGAATACTGAAGTCAAACGTGACCTTTCATAAACACACCAATAAAACAGTTGGAAATCTCCAAAGATATAACTAAACATGAACCAGAGAAGTGGTTCTCAACTTGTGTGTCCCCAGGTATCTTGGCCTACAATTCCCAGAAATCCCAGCCAGTTTACCAGCTATTAGGATTTCTGGGAGTTGAGGGCCAAAACATCTGGGAACTCACAGGTTGAGAACCACTGAGTGAGTGCTCACCAATAGCTCCTTTTCAGCCTGGAGACAAAAGACTACTGGGATTATGTTCTGGGCCTGGTATTGTTCAATAACTTTACGATGGATGATCGGAAAGATGGCATGCCTATCAAATTTGTAATGATGCCAAATTAGTAAAGACAGAAGATAGAAGCAAGATATCCCAGAAGATAGAAGCAAGATACAAGTTGACCTTTACAGACTGAAGAACTGGGCCAAAACCAGTAAGATGGGTTTCAACATTAATACATTTTAAATATTACATGTAGGGAGGAATTGCAAAATGCATATATGTGAGATGAGCAATACTTAGCTTAAAAGCGTAACACGTGAAATATATCTAGAGATGAGTGTTATGCCACCATAGCCAAATAAGCCAATGGGCTGCATCAATAGGAGTGTAGTGCCTAGATCATGGGAGTTAACAGTACAACACAATTCTGTTCTGGCTAGACCTCCCCTGGAATCCTGTGTCCAGTTCTGGGCACAATTCAAGAAAGGGATTGACAAGCTGGAATATGTCCAGAGGAGGGCGACAAAGCTTAGGAAGCTGGCATGTTTACCTTAGAGAAGATTGATAAGGGATAGGACATCCATCTTTAAATATCTGAAGGAATGCTATGTAGAAATTGACAGACTTCTTTTGTGCTGCTCTGAAGACTAGAAGATGAACCAATGGATCCAAGTTAAAAAAGATTCCATCTAAACATTACAAAGAATGTACTATGGAGAAGTGGCATTCATCAGTGGGGTAGAGTGGTACTGAACTTTCTTTCTTTGGAGGTTTTAAAACAAGGCTGTGTAGACATCTTTCAAAAGTACATGAGCTGTGGATTTCTGCTTGGAAGAGAATTTGTCTTGCAGATGCTTCTAACTCTTATTATTCTATGATTCTGTCTAACAGTGGTATTATAGAAACAGTCTTTGAAATCCTGGAGGTTTTAGCTTCCTTATACAAAAATGTGGTTTTGCAAAATAGCTTGCCCCTCTTAGGGACAGAACAAAATAACAGACACAGGTGTAAATAAAATGACTCATTGCTGCTGCTGCATCAACATGGCAAAACCCCTGTCACATCACAACCCTCATTAATTGCCCTCATTAATGTGGTTTCCTAGCCCTTCAGAGCAGACTTCGTGGGTATATGGGAGACCGCAGTGGGAAGAGAAGATTTCTCCCTCCCAACTGTGCCAAATTCAGTTTCCACCAGTGAATGTCATGTGTTGGATAATGTTGGCAATTTTAGCCAACATTTATAGGAAGGATATCCAGGGGTCAGTTTCTATTGATCTTATCTCTTCCGATGAATAAATTTCCCTTTGCCTTTATGCATTTTCCCAAGCTTTCTTACAAATCATAACTGTGTTTCTTGTCTCTATTCATCCTGTATCACAATATACAATACCAATGTACACGCTGCTTTCCTCCATGGAGGTGGGGAACCTATGGCTACAATTCTCATCCTTTGACTACTGAAATAATGACCGAGGCTGAAAAGTACTGGAGTTCACCAATACCCGGAGGAGCAAATATTCCCCAGTTCAGTTAATCAAAATAATGGCTGCTAGATAAACTGACCTTGAATTACAATTATATCAGTTTTACTATTTTATGTGTAGGTGCCTCAGTGAAAAGAAAATCACTTACACTTTGCAATGACATTGAGTCAAAGAACATTGGATCCATTAATAGTGCTGTCTGAATTAAATATTTCAACAGCGAAGATTTTAGAGTATCATTCAAAATCTTTTTTCATTCTGAAAGAAGTGACAGTATTTAAAAATGGACTACTTGGAAAGTGATGCAAAAGTCAGGAATTTTTAAAGGTCTTGAATAGAGGAGGAAACGATGTCTTGTAATCAGTTGATTGAATGGAGGACAACGGACAACAGCACCAAATAAGTCAGAAGGTATTCATGCCTTGCAAAATTATCTTTACAATTTTGACAATTGTTACAGGATGACTTAAAGTGTGAGATGTTTATCATGTTTTATATGAACAGGATTTGAGAAAGGGAAATTATTGAAATAATTATGTCCCAATAAAGGTTTTCAATAAAGTGCATTTGTTTAAAATGCTTTGCGAAATGACAGATGGCAGCCACAAATAAGAGTATCAGCAAAAGAGTTGAGGATCCATTCTTAGAGAGTTCCATCTATTAATGTCCATCTGTCAACAAAACACCATCCATAAAATATATATTCCTCTTCCAGCAGGAGCCCCTCTGACAGCCCCCCCTTCCCTGTTGCTCCAAAGATTGAAGGATCTCTCAAACATGATGGAAGGGCTGTAGGGAGGAAGTTTTTCGGCCAAAACATTAGTCTACTGAAGCAGCCCTAGATGTTGCCTAGAGAGAAAGAGCTGTAATAAATGTGCATAAAGATGGAAATGGGAGATCCTATGGCTGGGCAGAGACACAATGTCTCCCTCAATTTGGGAAGTGCAAATCCATGATAATATGTAGTCTACAGCAATGACAGAAAAGTTAATATGAGAAAATAAGCAAACCTCTACAAAATGTAAAGAGACCCTTCATCTGTCACCATACGTTAGAATTCTCACAGGAACATTTTTACAAAAAGTGACATCTGTCAGTGTGGCTTATGTTTGGAACTTTTAAAGACCTAAACCTTTCTTTAGAGACAGTTTACTACTGTACTGTCCGCTAGCATCAGAAGAGTAAAACGTGAGGGTCCTATTCTATTTTTCATGTCTCCTTCTAAACTACAATTACTATGAGTTTAAAATACAACCTGTGTTTTATCCCAGATATCTGTACAGCACAACACTGGGAAAATGCATTCTTTTGTATACTGATGCTGTATTTTCTTGCAGAAAAGAAAAACTCCTTAAAAAACTAGGACAAGACAGGTCAGCAATTACTGCCAGTTTAGCATAGGGATTTTCTAAATAAGATACTCAAATCATATTTTTGGAGCACATCCATTTAGATGACAAAAGGGGTGCAAAATGCATTCATGACACCTGTGTCATCAGAAGTGGCGATAACTTACATATGTACTTCAACAGAGTATATTTTGCATTCTATAACTACAAAGATTAGGGCACATAACCATAGTGTGTGTGTATGGAGGGGGGGGGGAGAGAAGGGAACCTCATTAGAGCTGGAATAGCAGATTTTCAATTTTTAAATTATCTTTAAAACATTGTCCTTGCTCTGCATTATTCAACATAATGGGACTCAGATGATGATGGCTTGCATGATCCCAGTAATATTCCAAAATAACACATGATATTGCCTTTGTGTACACTCCTTTCTGCATAAAAAGGGATATCAAGGGACTTCAAAAGTGTACATGAATATAACTTTACCCCACATTGTGATATGGCATTGGGAGGGGAGGTTGAGCCTCACTCTTCCTTACCACACACATTAACACCTACTGTGGTAAATCAATGTGTTCTTCTATGATAACTCCAAGGGGGGATTCCAGTTTTTCCTCCCTCTGAATATACTTGATCCTTCCACTTACAGATGGAAACAAGGTATCTAGAGCACTTCCAACTGAAGGCAGGGGGAAGGTGATTTTTGACTGTTCTCTGTACAAAACCGTTCCATCTCCCACACTGACTTGAAGGGTAATTCAGGAACAGCTTAGGTGATTCCAAGGGAACCTTTCACCAGTGCCAACAAAAACCTATTGAGTACAAGACTGAATCCAACCCATTACATCAAAGGAAGTTCTGGGTATAAGTAATCCCCAAGTTACAAACATCTGTTTTACAAACCACTCATAGTTAAGAGGAAGTGAGAGAACTCTACCCCCAGGAAGGGAAATTTACTCCTGAAAAAGTTATCACAGGGAAAAGGGGTCTCAACTGAAGCTGAACTTGATTCCACAGCAAGCCAAACTTTTCCAGAATCCAATCATTAGAAAGTGAAGTGAAATCTTCTGAACAGGGGCACAGACAGCAAAGCAAACACCACAGGGGTGTTAACCCTTCCCTATGCTATCCAAAGTGTGTGTGTAAGTGTGTGTGTTTAGCTGGAGTTACCCTTAAAATGTACCTGTTCTAACTTACAAACAAATTAAACTTAAGGACAAACCTACAGAACATATATTTT